CGCTCATCGGGGTGGTTTGGACCGTAGATCTTATGCATGACCTTTCGCGCAGCTTCAATCTTGCCCTTCTTGATCAACCAAATAGGGGACCTAGAGATCAGGCGTTAGTACAAGAGCCATTCTTATCTGGGCAACTGACACTTACTCTGGTGCCACAGCCCAGGTGATAACAGCTAAGCCACCAACGGCCCACTGGATAGCAATGACCGTCCTGAACGCTTGCTCTCGAATATCAGGAACGAATATGCGGATCACGCCCAATGCCAGACCCTGGGTGAGAAGAACAAAGATGACGAAACAGGTCTGTAATGGAGCGCGAAGTTTCAGAGGCGACACCTTGTAAAGTTTGTTAGTTAGCTTATTAAAAAGGACCGGAATTCCAGTCTGCTCATACTTCACCGATGTACGTCGTAGCGGTGGCCATCACAGCACCAATACCCAGACCCGAAATCATCTTGCCGCCCATTAGAGTTGCACGCGGCACAGCGATATACTGCACCGCAGCGCCGACTAAAGTCAAAATAGCTGCAGCACAGGATGGCCACTTCCGCCCATATCGATCAGAAACGAAGCCAACCAAAATGGCACCAAGGGCCTGCGTAAGTGAAGACATTGCAGTCCACAACGAGGTCCAGATGGAAGGGAGATAGGGTCCTGTCGGTCCGATTTCGCCAAAGTATAGTAGAAACGAGGGCATCGAGATCGAGGCTCCATTGGTGACTGTGTCGTAGGCGAAGACGATGCCGGCGGAAAAGGCTACGGAAGCTTCATGACTGTTAGAGAAGTTTTTGGGTTGCATGGATTAAAGTATTTACCTATGAGCAGAGCTCGCCAATGCCTTTTTGCATTCTCAAGGACCGAGAGCTGCCTTTCTGCGTTGATGATGTCTTCACCAGTCCCAGCACCGACAGTTGCAATCCCGGTATCAGTCTTTGCTGTCTCAAAGTGATTGCACTCCGGGTCCTGCATCTTTGTGTCGTCAGCCTTTGGTGAAGTCATGTTTCTGTTTGTTTCGATGACTGAAGGGGCTACGGGACATTGTTCACAGATTTTCAGCAAGGATGGGCTCGACTTCCACTTGACATTAAATGCAAGCAGAACCACATTCCTTAGCTAATTGCACATGCAGGATATCCAATGAATTATGGATTGTCCGGGGAAGCTAATGGCGGGGGGAATCTGGGGTATCATTGATGTGTCTAGCTTGGGTGGACGTTTTGGGTGGACGTTGGTGTGGATTGGGGTAGGCCTGGGTGGACGGCGGGTGGACGTACTTTGGACATGCGAGTGGAACATCCGGGGAAACGGGGGAGTGGAAGATTCGGGAGAAGTGAGTCCGAGTCGGAAACTGACTACATACACCTCGGACTTCCCGACATGATAAGGTTATTCAATGTCGTGCCTGTGTTGTATGAGTTGTATTGTCTACGGATTTCTAGACCCCGGATCTAAGTCAGAAGACCCTATCCTCAACCACCTCAAGTAACACTTCAGCGAGCTTGAGCAACATTAGACAGCGTCCTAATGAAGGTTACCAACCCCATCATCCCTGGGTTCGCTCCTGATCCAACCATAGTCGTCCACAATGGCACTTACCTCCTCGTCAATTCTTCTTTCCACGTGTTCCCTGGGTTGCCCATCTATACTTCTACAAACCTTGTGGATTGGGAGTTGAAGGGCCATGCCTTATGTCGAACCACTCAGCTGTCTCTATCCAGCGCCTTTACCAAATTCATCCCTCTGCCTCATGGCATCCCACTCATAATCACCGGCGGTCTGTTCGCACCAACACTCCGTCATTTCAAAAACAAGTTCTATGTTGTGTGTACATATGCTTGGGAGAAGCCTGATGGAGCACACGAGTTCCAGAACTTCTTGCTTAGCTGTCACGAAGACATGATATTCTCAGAGAATGGATGGTCAGATGCAGTGCCATTCGAGTTCCCGGGTATTGATCCAGGATTATTCTTCGATGAGATATCCGGAAGGGCATATCTTCACGGCTCTTATCGAACTGGACCTCCATGGGCACCAGATTGCTCAATTCGCCAGTTCGAAATCGACGTTGAGACCGGTGCAGCCTTGTCAGACACGAGATATCTCTGGAAGGGTGCCGCCGGCAAAGATGATGCTGAGGGGCCGCACATTTACTTCAAAGACGGCTGGTACTATCTGTTGACCGCCGAATCTTCGACCTTTGAGGGTCACCAGATCAACATGGCGAGATCCAAAGATATGTGGGGACCTTACGAGGGTTGTCCGAACAACCCTTTATTGACTGCATTCGAGAAAGACGAAGCCGTTCGTTGGACTGGCCATGGTGATCTATTCCAAGACACTAGAGGAAATTGGTTCTGCGTTCACCTAGGAATACGACATGATGATGACAGTATTCAACGCCATCCACTAGGCCGCGAAACTTTTCTCACTTCGGTTGACTGGCCCAAGGATGCATGGCCCAGAATTTCTCAGACAAAGCTGAGCCTAGATCTTGACCTAAAAGATGGATCGAACGCGGGACAGCACGGTGTCTTCAAGGATCTGAATCGGCAAGTTGAAGACCTCTACATCCGGACTCCCATTCCTCAAAACTACTCGTACTCTGCCAAGGACAATACCCATTCTTTGTGCGCTCAGACCTCGACCCTAGCTAGCCCATCAGGCACATCCACGTTCGTTGGCCGCAGGCAAAGATCTCACTTAGGATCAGCTTCGACGACGATACGTCTGTCTTCCAAAGGGTCTGAAGGACTACCACTGGTCGGCTTAACGGTTTACAAGGATAGCCTGCGGCATGCAGTCATCCAGATTGATCCGCAAGAGCGCAAGATATCTTCCATTCTGGTGGCAATCCAAGATCAGAAGCCCAAGTCGATCGATTTAGGCTCGGCTGCCATACCCAAGTCTGCTAGGGAAATCGAGCTCCGCATTCAGACCATGCCCGACGAATACGGATTCCTCTGGAGAGTCAAGAGTTCTGGAGAAGGAACCCAGTGGCAAAGTCTAGGAAACGTTGACCCCGTCCTGCTTTCGGGTTACGACATGACGGGCACTTTGTACGGCATCTTCGCCATTTCGAACAGCACACCAGGCTCTACCGGAGATCAGTGGGCAGAATTTGAGGATTTCATGGTTGAATAGTGGTGATTGCATGCTTTCGGAATTTATCGGGGGGCTTACTGGGACTGCCTGAACTCTCTGAAGACCGGTCAAACATCATGTATTTACGTTGATCAAGAACTCATAAGTCTGGGCATGTCGAAAACTTCCGTTCTTTGTATACATCCCGCACGCTTTGTAAAAAAAAGTAAGTTTGGGAGAGACTGAACGTTGGCTAAAAGTCGTTGGTTGGATCAACTCGAACGGTGTAAACAGTAGCCACCGTTGAATTGGCCTCGGCCTTTTAGGCACCAGTCGCCATTGTTGCCTGGGCTTTGGCGATCAGATGCATTAAAACCGTCAATTCTCCCTGCGCCACTCAGCCACTTGCTCAGTTCTCTCACTCCATAAACACCACTCAACACTCGCGTTCCCACTTCAATCGTAGCTCCATCAAGCTCGCGATGTCTTCTCCACTCATTTATCATCAGCCATCAACAGCCCACACTCATACCGTCGTCTTCTTGCACGGGCGGGGCGACAATGCAAAGAACTTCATGCAGTCACTAAACTACTCCAGCGACTCACAAGATCGCACTCTGGTAGACGCTTTCCCATCTTTTCGCTGGGTCTTTCCTCAAGCAAAAACAGGAAAGGCGATGGCGCTCGGCGATAGGGTCTCGCAATGGTTTGACATCTGGAACGTAAACAACTTTGCCGATCACGAAGAGCATCAGGCTGAGGGGCTCCGAGACAGCGTTGCCGCCATCCGAGAGATCCTCACCACAGAGGCGGAGTTGCTAGGAGGCAAGTGGAACCGCATCATTCTGGCTGGAATAAGTCAAGGCGCAGCAGCCGGCGTCCATACTCTACTCAATTTACGACTCCCACCGGGGCATTCCAGACTCGGAGCCTTTGTCGGCTTTTCCTGCCGCATGCCGTTCCCTGGGAGAAATCTCAACGATACCCGGGCAATTCTCGGGCTTGAGGATGTCCCAGAAGGATGTGCGCTTCTGGAACATACTCCCATCTTACTAGAGCATTGTGTTGATGACCCCCTGGTGCTGGTTTCCAATGGCCGTATCTTGAGGGACACCCTGGGGAGGTTTGGTGCACAAGTTGAGTGGAAGGAGTATCAAGAAGGGGGGCATTGGTTTAATTCACCTTCAGGAATGGATGATGTTGTTCAATTCTTGAACTCCCATCTCTCTGAATGATACTGGGTAAACTCAATTCAAATGCTCGAGCCCACTAAACGCTTGGAAATCTGAAATTTTGTTAGATTCCATTGATAGTCTTCCTATAAAATAACAGGCCTTTGCCAACGTGGACAACACACAGCAACATCCAAGCTTATGAAGCTATATCAGCAATGCAGATGTTCCCGATACGCGGGCTCACTTGATGAGATGAGGGACCATGATAGGATATGTATTCTTGGTGTTGCACTTAGACCCTTCAGTAACAGCGCTTGAGGCGCCCCTTACATGTACTCATGGGGGTCAATACGTCATATCATCATCGCCATCCTTATTTTTCGAACCTTGCTAGAGTCGCGGCAACTGTGCCATAATATTGGCTTAGTTAATTGGTTACAACAAAGTTTATCAGATCGTGCCGTATATGTTCTCATTGACCGAGCGTGGGAAACTTGGTCGCGGGGGTCGTACATGTCCTCACCTGCCTTGCCCTAGGGCTTCGCTTTCAGAAAAGCTTGATTCCGGGGTGCCGGAGATACTCTTCAATCTCATTTTATCGTACGTACACTTGTCGGAATGCGGCTTTCTGTTCGATTCGGAGAAGCACTGCCATCTGCACGTTGTAGCCGGCATCGTCAGCCATTAAGAATTCCCATCTTACAACATTAATCAGGCAGAATCCACACCAGGAGACGCCCTCAGATGCGCTTCCTTGCCACTCTTTTGGCCGTTGCTGGCCTGGCAATCGGGACTCCTGCCAACCTCGTCGAGAGATCCGCGCCACCTCGGGTCAAGAATATCGACTTCAAAGAAATGAGATTGCGAATGCACCTGAAGCATCCGACTCACCTAATCTCTCAGTCTTTCGACTTGAACGATGTAAAGGGGATGTTGGTGTCTCGCGCTGGCACAGCAGATACAATCTACATTCGTAACTTCAACACCTTCATCCCAATGACCAGCTTCCGAAACGGACCGACTTCGGATGGAGAGACCACCGCAGAGAACCACTGCTTCATGTGGGACGAATGGGAGCTTCGCGATGTCAAGTCATACTGGAGTTCGTATACGGCAGCTTCCAAGATGCAGCATGTTGGGCTCGTCGGCGACCCCGAGACTGTGGCGATCCCCTGGGAGGAGAAAGTTTCCGTCAAGAGGAGGATCAGTCTTACTCCTGACTGGAGGCCCATTAAATCTGTGCTGAGCATTGCACTGGGCATGAATACAACGGACGAATGGACCCATGGGGGAACCTTCCAATGCACGACTGCTCCCAATAAGAGAATCCGTCTTTGGTTCCAGAAGTATGTCGGATCAGGTAAGCTTTGGAAGGAATCTTGCTACCTGCTTCGTGTTCGAGATACTGACTAGGATACAGCATATGCATTCAAGAAGATATGTAGAAGTTGCGGCGGTGAAAGACCGGTGTGTGAGCAAACGTGGACGCCACAGGGCCAGATCATCATTCCCTCTGATGGGTAAGTTGGTTTTTATTCGTCGTGATTATTGTTGGGCTGATTTCGAGCCCACCTAGCTCCGATCCAGACCTCAACTACAACATGCATTGTAGCTCTGATTAGATCGGGCGAGATAAGTTGAAACGGCGACGGCGATGCGCCCGGTTAGAGAACTATTCTTAAACCACAAGTCAAGTCCTGGTTTTTTTGGGTCATACTGCTTCGCCTCATCATCGACAATGGAACAGGTGCCTATTCGAAGGTTTCACCATCACGAAGATCTCGACCTCATCTACGGCAATAGGGTGTTGCCCGAAAGTATAATAGGCTCCAATCTATCCAATTCTTGAGTGATCGTCTTCCCATCTTCCAGCATGTGTATATGGCAAAGATCGATATCAGTAGTATCATGTCAGTACGACTACTTCTTACTGACATACATTTCATTGGCTCAGGTAAGATAATGGTCCTCTTAATATGTTGAACAGAAAGTTTGGTGCTGACCCCGCAGCCTAGTCGCAAGTGTAGCCTCACTACCTTACTTATCTTGAGCCAATCAGCCTCCGTATGTCAGCCGATCATGACTTTTAAGTCTTGATTTCCAACGTCATGTTGAATTTCTTCATTTGTGACTCACCCTGCCAAATGTTTTCGCGATTCTTTTAAGTACGCGCCCTCAGTTACCAGCATCACCATCATTCGGCGGCAGCAACCACACCACTGATGTCACTTAGCCATCATGAACCACCAACATCTGGACTTCGAGCCCGAGGCAATAAACTTGCGCGGTCGCACATTGACAGCCAGTCCAGCGGTAACACAGCAAGAAAGCGAGAATGAGATTGAACAGGCGCCATTGCCGCCCGCAGACAGGGGAAAGGAGGCATGGCTTGTCTTGCTCGGATGCAGTCTGATCCAGTTTCCCGTGTGGGGTAGGTGAACTCGTGTGCCCTTAACTCCAACCGCTAAAGAGAAGATAGCTGACTCCGGACTCTGTAGGGTACTCCCTCGCATTTGGTGTCTTCCAGGAATATTACGGCAGTCACCCTGGCAAGCTTGAGGGCGATACCAGCAATATTGCAGTGATTGGGACCACCTTGACGGTATGTTCATGAATCCACTCCCATATCATCACTTGGATGTGCTGACGAGGTCAGGGCATCATGTACCTCATCTCCCCTTTCACGTTCACGATCTTGAGTAGATGGCCCCGTCTACGCCGTTGGTTCGGCCCACTTGGGCTGCTCCTCACCGCGACCGGCTTCCTCTTATCCTCTTTTGCGACTACGGTGTGGCAGTTGATCGCAACGCAAGGTGTCATATGTGCCCTAGGCTGCGGGCTACTATTCACTCCAACGACTTTGTACCTGGATGAGTGGTTTGTCAAGCGAAAAGGCCTGGCTTACGGAGTCATGTGGGCTGGAAAATCTGCAGCTGGCGTCGGGCTACCCTTCGCCATGGAAACCTGTCTGCAGAAGTTCGGACCAGTAGTCACGCTCCGAGCTTGGAGTGTTGCAACGGTACTACTCGTCCATTTTCATGCAAGCGCTGAATATATTACTCACAAGCGCACAGGTTCTCATCTCGGCGCCCCTCCTCTACTTCCTCAAACCACGTATCCCCGTCTCCCAGTCCTCCGCCGTACGCCGAATCAACCTCAACTTCATCCAGCTCCCCTCCTTCTGGATGCTCCAAATCGGCAACGTCCTCCAATCACTCGGCTATTTCCTCCCCTACACCTACCTCTCCACCTACGCCGTCCAACAACTCCACGTCTCTACAACTGTAGCAACGACCCTGCTCGTCCTCATCAACGTCACCTCCATCCCCGGCGGCATCGTCATGGGCAGCCTGGGAGACCACCTCCGCGTCACCACCGTGATCCTCATATCGACCATCGGTTCCGCGCTCGCAGTATTTCTGTTCTGGGGATTTTCGAGTCAGACAGCGCTGCTGGCTGTCTTTAGCATCACATATGGCTTCTTCGCCGGCGGGTTCAGTTCTACCTGGTCTGGAGTGCTGTCTGAGTTGAAGGCTGAGAGCCCGGCGGTGGATACGGGGTTCATCTTTGGGTTGTTGGCTGGTGGGAGAGGAATCGGCAACGTGATTAGCGGGCCATTGAGCGTAGCTTTACTAACTGGGGATGGGTGGATAAGAGATGGCAAGGGCTGGGGGTATAGCGGACAATATGGCGGCATTATCTTGTTCACAGGCGTTACGGCAATGTTGGGTGGATGGGGTGCACTTGGTAGGGTCAAGTGCATTTGCGCCAGGTGAGCTCAATGCTTAGGCCTGATCCCATGCTAATGTCACTCCTCCACGCTTCGATCAATCGGACGTCGGCAGTCGGGGTAAGAGAAGTAAGGCAAATGCGTGGCTGATATCTGATTCTTAGTATCAAATTTGCGAAAAACACCCATGTCTAGAAGGCAACGTAGGATAGGGTCAAAAGTTTGATCATGGGTAGACATTATTACTATAAATCTCTCTAGTCTGGTTGTGGCATCATCCTCAACCTCCTAGATGAATCAATCATCATTATAACCATCCGTCTAGTGGTTTCTCTTGTAAATGGTACCATTTCCGGTAAAGTTACCAGTCTGGGTAGTGAAGTCATCAGTGTTGCTGAAGTTGTCAATCTTTCCGAGCAGAATCTCGAGCATGCGGTACGCGACACCAGGAGTGTATCCGGGCAGCTCATGGCCGGCAAGACGAGCAGTGTAGAAGGTCAATCCACGATCGGCGGTCCACACACCCTGAATACCGGCGCCGGCAAGCGCGCCAGCATTGTACTCGGGGTGGTAAGGAGCGATGAGAGGCGTAGTGGGGTACTCCGACAGACCCTGCGCGCCGTTCCAGGTCATGTTCTGGATCGCGAAAAGCGTACCGTTGGTGCTGAGAAGCATGTCGAGGTCACCAGAGCCGATGATGGTGTTGTTGGTGAACTCGATAACGCGCTGCAGGGCACCAGTGATGGCGGGGCCGTTAGACTGGTCAGAGCCGCGACGAGTTCCGTTTCCGAAAACGTTGACGTTGGTGCACTGCTGCCAATTGGAGTTGAGGGGTGCGTTGAGCGCCTTCTTGACGTCGGTGCGGTTGAAGTAGATCTCGGCCCCAGGCGGGGTGTAGTCGCCGCTGTTCACGATGCCGAGCTGGGAGTATGGGTGCGGGCAGGTCTCGGTGATGTGGTAGATGTTGAAGCAGGGGTTGACCTCGATGATGGCCTCGTAGAAGGTATCGAACATGTCGCAGGCGTAGACATCGCTGTTGTAGGGATCGGGCAGGACGGGGAAGGGCTCCTGGGGCGGCGGGAACTGGAAGTAGGTGTCGAGGTAGGAGGAGTAGTTGCACGAGTCCTGGCGGTCGCGGACTTGCTCCATGAAGGTCTCGTTGAGGTAGAAGAGGTTGTTCCAGAACTCGACGTAGGGGAGGATGACAACCTGCTGCTGAATGGTCTCGTCGCCGATGATGGGGTCGTTGATCGAGATACCGGCCAGGTTAAAGTAGTCGGTATCGTTGGCGGAAATGAAACCGTCAGCAATGTATGGGACATAGTATCCGGCGTACGACTCTCCAGTGATGTAGGTCTTCCAGGTCTTGAGGTCAAAGGTGTCGATGAAGCTCTTGTAGAAACCGCGGAACTCTGTCGCAAGCTGGACCTCATCGGTGATATTGGGTACTCCCTGGGAGTAGCCAACACCGACGGGCTGCTCGACCCACAGCATGTTGGTCAAGTTGGTCCATGAGTAGGGGTTCTGAACGGGGGCAAGCGTGCCCGCTTCCCAAGTGAATGGGCCGTTCTCCGTGAGGAAACCGGAAAGAGAGGAACATCCTGGTCCACCATTGAGCCTGTCGCACGTTAGCGGGTTGCTTCAGACCCGACTATTATTTTGCTATCTTACCAGATAACCACCTCTTCAGGGGTCTGCGCGGCTGATGAGGGGAAGAACCAGAAGAAAAGCTCGCGAGTCTCGTCGGGGCTGTCGGAGATGGGGAGCAATCCAGCGTAGGATTCGCCAATGTCGAAGGGCACTTCGGGAATACCAGTGCCATTGACAGCGAAGGCTTGGAGAGAAGTCAGCTTGGCGACCAAGAGCTTCAATGCCCGCCAATTACTCACCCTTAGTCTTCTCCGTCAAAAATTGGGAGGCGCGCTTCTGAATCTCAGGGTGAGAGAAGGGCTGGTTGGCCGCGCGCCTCTCGACAATGGACCTCGGAAGCGTAGGCTTGGTCGGCTTCTTGAAAGCAAGCGCAGAAGAGGCGCAAAGCAGCCCGCTGAAGAGGTTGAGAAGCTTCATCTTGAGTTTGACTGGGGAGAAACTACAAGCGAGTGAAGACTCCTACTCCGACCAGAGCTGGCCCGGCCGCGGTATTTGAACATTTTCGTATATGACGGCATCACTTCACAAAAGCCCTGACGCTTACCATAGGCAGAAGGAGAAGGTCCAAAGTGCCCAAAAGTCCCCTGATAGAATGGGTCACTTCTCGATGATTGAACGGCGGTGGGTCCAGGCAAATGTTGATCGTTGGTTCATGGTACGTTGGTCGGTTGTTCGGCATGCGAGAAAGCGTTGCTAGCCGGTCTCCTCCAAAGGTACCTTGGACTCATCTAGGCCTTTTGGAAAGCTCATATCGAGAAAAGCCGTGTTCAGATTACTTTGAACCATGAGGTCCTTTGGTAATGAGCTTGTACGGATACTGATAAGCCTGATTGGCCTTGGCCGAGTCTCGGTGTCATGTAAACTTCATGTGTCCTTCTTAGTGACCAACGGCGCAGAGGAACCTGGCACTTCTGGGTATTAATCGCGTGTTCGGCTCTTGAAGGCCGCATAAAAGTTGTAAGATGACGCAGCCGGGAACGAACTGTCACCTTCCTCTTAAGGTTAAGGCCGGTCCCGCAGATCGACAATGAAGCTCCAACGGCCCTCGCGGCGCATTCGTGATTCGATCACTGTGTCTTAGTGTCGTGGGAGCAGACAGGGCCCCGGATAGATCAAGCTTCGGGCGCACGATGCAGCCGAAGCTTGGGCTAGCTTGGCGAAGCTTGTCAAGCTTAGCGACTCTCGGGGCGGCGTTGGGCGGGTTGTTTGCCTGGAGCCTGGAGGATCGATACAAACGCGGCAGAGCGGGAGAGAAACAAAAAGTCCGACCTCCCCGGCATATCAACAGGGATCAAAGGCTCGCGAGCATTAGGACCTGCCTGGGAGGTACTACGGTGATATCGTATTGCAAAGTGCGGGATGTCGCGTAATCACGACCTTGAGTGATGCGATGCAAGGTAAGAAAGCTCGATAGATGCTAGGTTGCGAGACGAGTAATTCGCTCATGTGAATTGCACGGCTTAACTACTGCCCGCTACGTATGTCAAGGTTACTCAGAAGTTCCAGTTCATCTCATTCTTAGAAAGTTGAGTCCACCTCAATCTGCCTCCCCCAGAAATGTGTATGGAACCCCACGTTATCGCCCACTTCTCGCTTAGTAATTAGTCTTACTCCAAGACGCTCCAGCATTCCTCCAGCACGTGGAGGTCAAGAACCGTTACTATTTACGCCCCGTCTCCCCCTCCAACAATACCGTCGTTGAAGGCGAGAGGAACTTGATGCAAGAGCCCCATGCTCCCTCCATCGCCGGCATCGCGTGGTGCTCAGCGTTGATTTAGGACAGCTGGATGATGGTTATGACCAATGGAAGCTGACAGGCCCAAGAGAAGGATGACATCAGGCGCGTTGGCACTGCAGTCCGGTCCAGTGACTAACCTAGTGTGCGTCTTGAGCACTGCCCGCGCGTCGCACGGCCACACCGAGCCATCGTCCCCCTCAATTGCATGCAGCATTTGCGGCGTGATTGAAATGTAAAAACGGTTTCAGCCCTCTGTGCAGAAAAGAGGCGTAAATCGACCAATACAATGACCGGAATGCCGTGGCTGAAGATGCTGACGCGGCAGCCACACTGTTGGTTGGCCTCACAAGGCCCAACATCAATCCGTCTGACATCGCCAAAGTAGAGAACTATCATACTTGAACCTGACGCAAGGTAACGTTAAAATATCCACAAGTCGATCGCAAATCCATCATCACAAAGAGCCGCAAAGACGCAGCTGCAATGGGACCCTCAAAGACATCACCCTCCGAGGCGGCACCAGCCTACGACGAGCACGGCTTCCACGACGAGCATCCCGTAAACGCGTTTCCCCCATCAGGATCAGCCTCAGCCTACGCGACAATCCCGCAGAACGACGAGCGCGATATCGAGCTGGCACACGATCACTCGGGACCAGATCCGTCGGCCCCTTTCAACCCCTTCAAGCCGCACCAACACTGCGAGACGTGCGACAAGTTCACGTCGGCGCGCGAGGTCAGGGCCAACGAGAGGCACTGCTGCCTCTGGGTTGCCATAGTGTTCATAACAATTAGCGTCTCGATGGCGGTGATGGGAATCGTTGCTGTCGAGGCAAAGTTCAGGCATCACAAAGATTAGGCATCGAGAACACGGTTGTTTCTCCAAGTCGTCTGTCTACTAGATATGACTTTCTAGTAGTTGGGAGTTCCTTTGTCTGGGTTGGTGCGCAACAGTCGGGTGATCGATCCAGTCCAGAAGCCAAGCCTTGCTCCAAGCAAATGCCGACAAGACTGCGTTTCATCAAGGTCTGCGCTGCTTCCTCCAACCCGGTCCCTTCTTGCGAATGATCCAAGCCAAAGGCAACTCAGTGGCAAGGAACAATGCATAGATAGCAAAACACCAACCCAAACCCGCAGCATCGGCGAGTGGTTGTAGTGCTGCAATTGCCGCACCCGCTCCCAAGCATCTCACTATGCTGGACGCACCCTGTGCTGTAGCAGATCTTTCGCAGTTGAGGTCGGTTAAGAGTGTTCCTGTCATCTAGGTGTTTTGGTTAGAGCCTCGTTCATTCCATTTTAGATTTGTAATAAGCTTCGTACCGTGAACAGACTAGCAGTGGTGATTCCAGTGATAAACTGCATTATAATCATGACAGCCATGTGCTAGACCATATCAGCGCCATGTTGTGACTTGAGATTACGAGCAGTTTTACCGCTTTTGCCATGAGCGCGAGACCGTATCCAACAGTTCCTAACGCGCTTATAGTGACTAAAAAGTTGAAGCCCTTCAATCTGACTTGTTCAATCTGTACTTCAGAGGGCGCAATGCCATTTTGGTCACTACTTTCTGATAGCTTGCTTGTTGCTGTTCGGTAATTCCGATTGAGAATTCTCCCTATCTCATCCGTCAGCCCATACTACGTAGGTAGTCTAAGAATAGAGGGATGTCAAACCGGTTGTGAATGATCCTATACCTCCGGCGACCCCGGAAGGAATATATATCAATCCCGCAGTCAGGTAGTCTAGTTTGTAGATCTCCAAACACTGGGCACCCAGCGATGTTTGCAGCGTCATTTTCACGGAATATGTGATGCCGTACAGGAGTATCACTACGAGTGAGCTGCGGTCTTTCAAGATCGGCAGACAGGCGAACGGGTTTGGCCAGTGTCGCCTGGAATTTTGACTTCTCAATGCTCCTCCGTTCTTCCTTTGGGGGCTCTTGTTGATCAGAGTGAGAAAGCTCCAGTAAATGCCCCTGGCGTTGGCGCTGCCATTTCCCACAATGTTGCGCTGCGTCTCGGGGAAGAAAAACAGCATGGTAAGAGCTGTAATTGAAATAATAATTGTCAGGAACCAGAATATCCATCTCCATCCAAGCTCTTGAGTTATGCCGCCTCCAATCACAGGTCCAAGACTAGGGGCAATGTCTGTACTTGCGCACGCGTCAATGCAAGTATTCCTGTAGCCAGTATGTAAAGGCAGATGATGAACCTACAAGAGTAACAATACACCAACGAAACCTCCCCTATCTTTCGGCAATGTAATGTCCGATATAACACCGTAGGTAATGGCAGTCAACCCTACTCGGTGTCAGAGAGGATCTGGGCACATGATAGTCAGGCACTGATCCTCACCAGAAGCACCTGAGCTCTGAAGCATACGAAGCACCAGTAGGGCAGGAAATGAACTTTGGAGAGCAATCCCAACATTTGCTCCAATCATCAAGACGAACATCAAGAGGAATATTGGTCTCCGGCCACTTTGGTCAGCCATATCCCCCATAAAGGCAGGTGCAATCGCGGCGATAATCAAATACGAGGTTACTGTAAGATTGATCAGGGAGACCGACACCTTAAGGTTTCGAGAGATGGGAACAATGGCCGGGTAGTATATGTAACTGCTCATGGTAGAAAACATGGCCGAAAACGATGCGCTGAGGCTGATCCAGTGTTTCTGCCATTTGGTAAAAACCGTAAAAAGCTCGTCTTCGTTGACGTCCTCGTTCTCGAGCTCAGCGTCTTGATGGGATGTAAGGATAGGTTCCAGATGTACTATACCATCGGTACCTTCAAGATCGTTGACCCGGGCCATTTCGTCTCGGTAGAGTTGATGAAGCTTCAACCTTCAGTTAACTCAGAAAACGACTTTGGAGCGCGAGCTGTTGAGGATACGAGGTAGGTAAGCAACAAGACAGTTGCTCTGTCCTGGAAAAACGTCATTATTGTCACAAATTTGCTCTTCATGTCACGGAAAAGCCAGAGCCGTCATTTCTTGGGAGGCGGGGTAGCAACCAATCACACGAAATGAGCTCGTTGCACAGCAGATGACAGACAGTTGGTTGTTGACCCTCAGGCTTGTGGCTGCAACCGCAACATGGCAACATCACATGCAGGAATTGAATCTGACAACCTGAAAATTGATCACATCTCTTCAATTGAATGTCGGCGAAACGCTTCATCAGTTCAATTCCCTCAAACATCGATTTCTCAAATACTGAATGTTTACTACACCAAACCAACTGGAACTGGTGCAGCGATCTGGGACTCAAAGGAAACCTGAGCTCTCTCAACATCCTTTCTTTCTTGACTCTCGTCTTTAACCCTATCACCTAGAAGACGCATATTGCTGAGGAATCTATGGAATATTTGTAAGCACTTCGCGATTGTAACTCGTGGCCGAGGAGCAAATTCATATTCAACGTACGCATCTCTCAACTTCAGCTCAGTGGGGTATAGGCTGGCGAGGCAGACCTGATGGCGGATGAGGTAGATGATTATGCGGCTTTCGGCATCTTCTTCAGGTTCGGAAATTGGTACATGCTTCCAGTACTCTTGAAAGTATGCCTTCCCAAGTGGATATCTTGGGTTGCGGAATGGGGCCAACTCAACTTCACAAATGTCAGTTCCGGCAGTATCGCATTCGATAGCACTACAGATCTAATTTTCTCCCAACTCACTTTCGTTATGGGCCCATAGGGCGTTTGCGTCGTATACAATGATGGTTTCGTTGTCCAGCTTGTACTTGACGTTTCCAGGCCAGAGATCTGTGTGGCAGAGTGTTGGTTTGATAGAGCGGCCTTCTGTCTCCAAGGGACGCAAGTAACGAGGAAGCACTGTGTCCAGAAAGAAATTCAATGTTGTCTCATCTTCGGCGGCGTAGGCGCCGCGAATGACTCTTTCCCTTTGCAACAGGAACTTCATATGAGTCGTCCACCATACTTCCCAGGAAGATTCCCAGCCATTGGGTTGTGTCAGGTTACCAAAACGAGTATTCACTGGGAATCCAAACTTCCCTGTGGGAGATTTCCCTGCACTGCGGAGATGAAGCGCACTTGGGACCGCCATATATGTCTCTGGAGGTGGGATGTCATCGTCAATCATGTCCTCAAACTCCAGAAGGAGGAAATAAGTGTTCGGCTGAGATGCATACTCCCTGAACGCGACTGGTCGAGGGATGTACTCGGGGATGAACTTGTATACGCTGCTTTCGGAGTGCCAGTGTGCTCGAATCTGTTCTAAGCCCCCCTCGCCTCTTGCTTTCTGTGACACCAGTCAGGGAATGTTGAGCTTACGAGTACTGAGATAACTTGAAATCATGCCTTTTCAAAGAATCTCCGAATGCTCCCATCTGGAAGTTGAACGTTGTACTGTGTGGTATCGCACCAGTCGCTCAGTCCCAGAGATGTTGCCTCGATCACCTTGCCGTCCTTAGGAAGTTCTATGTCAAACCTCAGTATATTATCATTAGTCATGGATACAATAGGCTAACCCGCAAGAAGATTCTCATCCACGGCCACTTCTACACGGTCGCTGGCCATGGCCGCAAGTTCTCGGGGTCTCAATATCGCTGGTTGACTGTTTTGGAAATATCATCGGTGGTTTGCCTCGGTGGGCCTGAGAAAAGTTTTGTGCTTGCACCTTGAGACTCAGGCTACCAATTCTCGCGACGAAAAGAAATTACAGCTCACGTAGTACATCGGCTTCTGTCTGTCGTGATGAACCGCGAAGCAGGCTATGCTGCAAGTATGGGTCGATTTCGGTGTGATTGAGCCGCAAGGGGAAGATCAGGCAGTTTCCCCGCATCCAATTATTCACCCCAGCCGCCTCGGACTTTGAGAAAGGCGTCACTGCCTTCAAAGGACTGGTGATTCCTCCAGTAGGGTGGTTCGCCTGGTTAAATGTGGCACAGCTCGGTAACCAATGAGATACCCGCTGTAGTGTCTCGTGATCCTTCCAAGGACTGCAAGAGTCCGTCAAGGCGACATGACATTGATGGTATTTGGCAAAAGCAGATCAGAAGCACAGCGTTCTTCGTCTCTTTCAATGCCAACGACTCCAAAGTCTTTGTAACGTTGAAAGGGAATGTCAAGCAGGCAGTCCTTACTTTTTCGACCCGGGACGGAGAGCAGCTTGATTCGCTCTGCATTATCGAAGACAGATCTGACTCCGACTCCGACGATAATCACGAAAGTCTCGACAGATTTTGCCCAGAGGTTGTCCGCTTCTCCCCCGTTCTCGGCTACGCAGCTGTCACGTATCGCAGTTCCCACCTGACTCTCTTCGATCTTAACGAGGAAGACAAGCTCGAGAGATTATTTCGCATAGAGAAGAGGGGCTCCGAAAAGTTACGTCCACCCCAAATTCTGGATGTTGTCTTCAACCCCGCAATAGAATCTGGCCTGATGGCCGTCGCATATCAAGATGGGGATATCATTGTGATTCACTTTGATGAAGACCGGTGGTACCAGGTCGGCTCGGTCAGTCTGCACTCGCGAGTGCTCGCCAGCTCGCCGGATGGCATGATTCTGGCGGCCGGAGATACCGAAGGAGGGGTGTCGCTGTTCAACTTCGACTCTCTTCAGTTGTTACATCGACTTGAACTTCTTGAAGAGACTGTAGTTGGCATCATATTCTCCTCCAACACCCTCAGGCTCTACGATGTCCGGGGGCGTTCTTGCAATGTCTGGGAGCCTTCTGTTCTACTTAGGCAGAATGCGACCGACGATACGTCCAGCGACCAAGATGGCATCCCAGACGAAAGCAATCTTCAAAGATCTGTTACCAGGCCTTTTGATGAGGCCAAGTTTGTTACTGTATTGACATCCATGGGTGATGACAAACATGTTTTCTGTGGTAGAGAAGACGGGTCCGTCTCGGTTCACGATGTCAAAGACGGACAGAAGATTGTCGAGTTCAAGCATCACTCCGCAAGCATTCGCGTAGTCGAGTGGAACCCGAAGGTCAATCTCTTGGTAAGCGTTGATGCATCAACGAGATGCATTGGAATGCGCATATCTCCTCATCTTAAACACCACAATCCCTGGTATCAACAAGATGTTGTGTTCAACTCTCGGGCGTCTTCATCGGTGTCACAAGCAATTATTGAACCAAATGGTCTTGCTGTTTTATTCTCTACACAGAGAGGTGAAGAACTGTGGCAAAACAAGACTCCCCCGGAACCGTTTTCACCAAGTCAGCTCTCTACAGAAAGCGGTCAATGGATGCAGCATCCGACTGACAAGTCTCCTCTACTTCTTTTAGAACAGAGCACTGTACGCCCCTTCCGTTGGGATGATCTCAGACCGAATACTTCTTTCTCCTCTATCTCCATGCTTCTGCCACCAGGTTTCAAGGAAACAACACTGACGAACAAATGGTTTTCCCGTGTCGAGTTCGACACCATGGTGCAAGCATTCCATCTACAAGCAGAAAACAAGAACACATTCCTTCTACTCACTAGTAGCAATATTCATACTGCTTCCAAGCAAGTATCCGTCTCTTGCACCGTCAGCAGTCTTCTCGGGAGCGTGAAGGCTATTCTGGGGATCACTCGTTCCGCAGTCATATTCTTGACACGGGGCGGGTGGATCAGTTCTTTCAGTCTCAAAAGTTTTGAACGAGCGAAATCATATACACAGCACCTCTTCATTCCCTCTTTCTGGCGTACAGGCGATCTTTTGATACGGACGGTGTCCAAAGACAGTATGGCTATTGCATACAGGGATGAGATCATCATTTTTCAAGGCTTCTTGGACTTTGACAAGAAAGTCGAGTGGCAGTAAAGTTTTATGCGTGATTTTACATCGAATTCATTCTTACAGACGCAAAGGTAGCATTGGGATATTGCATATAGATGCATTGATGCTTTCTCGGAAAGGCCATTTATCTCCATGTCGGGTCAGCATGAGACAGGTCCATCCATCTAAGCTACTAATGAGGAGCTTTAAGAGCAATGAGGCAAAAGACTGATTCGAAGTGATGTCATGTCCACCGGTCCGTAAGACCAGCGAACCAACCCCTTCTCCAACTAACCCTCCAACTGATGAGCCACGTGGATCTCGCGAACATTGGTCATGTTCACACCCACAAGCTTCCAAGCCATAACACCCTTCTCGATATCACGATCCTCATGATCAAGCAGAACATAGCTCATCACAGGATCCGTAAAGTTCGCCTCCTGACGGAAATAGTAATCCTGCTTGTTCTCGATGAACGTCTGCTCGTTGGCGGCATAGCGCTCGTGCTTGCGGAAGGTATCGACGAGCTTCTGGTCGAGGAAGAGCTGGCCCGCGTGGGTAGCGACGTTGTCCTGGATGGTGCCGTTGGCGAGGCGCTCGGTGCCCGGGACGTGGGTCATAATGTGGATGTGCGGGGTGCGGCCGGAGTAGTGGCCGGGCAGGTTGGTGCCGAACCAGACGGCGCCGTTGGCGTTGGTCTTGCGAAGGCCGCGGTGGAAGGTCTTGTCTGCGTTGGAGGGGTCAGCTTCGCCTGCGCCGTTGGCCTTGGAGACGACGCCGGAGTAAATGCCGGTGGAGTTGGTGTCTGTTGTAGTGGGATTTAGTTGGATGTCCAAAATTTAGGGATAGGAGAGTGTATGGACTTACGCCAGACTTCAACCCAGATGTCGGGAACGGGCTGACAGGTCTCGGTGTCGATGATCTGGAGGTCGAGGTACATGGGAATGCCAGACTGGCCATCGGTCAGGTCGAAGCGGTCGAGCTCTCCCTCGACGTCTGTCGATGGTGTCAGCAAAGTCTGAGGGAAGGAACGAAACAGGTAAGTATGGGGAACATACAGAAAGGACCCTCAGTAGTCTCGATGCTGAGAACGCAACCATCATCACGAGTGGCGAAGATGTCAGCATCGGGAGTGTGCCAGTTGACGCTGTCATCAGTGATCTCATGGTCGGTGCTGAGAACAGAGTCGATGTCACGCATGGTAATGCCCGCATGACGAAGGGAGTTGGCAAGCTGAGCTCGGCGAAAGGCAGCCTCGTCAATGTAGCCGCGCTTCTCGAGCTGGATGTTGCAGTGAGCAAGATTCATGGTGTTGTCGAGGGAGTACTCCTGGCGAGCGGCGACCTCGAAGGCCGGGTTGACGGTTCCGTGAGCAGAGCAAGGGCGGATGATGCTGAGCATGCCGTAGCAGACCAGGAAGCCGAAAAAGTAGGCCACTATGACGTTGATGCAGAGCTGGAAGTAGCTGACGATGTGTCTGTTGAACATCATCTCACGGTGGTGGGTCTCCTCGGTAATGATGCGATAGTTGGAAGCAGGGTAAGGTACAACTCGGCCCTCTGCGTCCTCGTAGCAGACACGCACGCTGTGAGGAAGAGAATCCTCTCCAGCTAGAAATATCATGTCAGAATATTTCTTTGAGGTCTGTTCAGGTTGGGAAGGCAGGGTAGAGTGCTTGAAATATTCGCCAAGCCAGTGAAAGAAACGAGCTTGCGTTGTTCGAATTGAACATCGATAATTTCGTCAAAAAAATAAAGACATACCAGCAACGATGCGAATACTCTGCACGTTCATTGTGAGTAACTCTCTGGTCATCAGCAAAGAGCTTGGTTGTTGTCGCGGTGCAAAGGTTCTGCTGTGGAAGCAAAGGTTGTGAAGAGTGCCTTGCCAAAGAAGCAAGTGAGAGTGTGGGTGAGGAAAAGATCTCTTGTTTTCCAGGAGGAATTCGAGAGGGTAAGTAGGAGATGTCGAGGTATGGCTTGAAGATGGAATACTCGTCGTATTCGCCTTTGGCGAGAAGTGCCTGAGGTGGTTGAGCAGGTGAGCAGTGAATATCCACGGGATGCTTCACAGGTGAAGTGTGAAGATGCATGTCACGTGAGAGGGTCTTGAAGAGAAAGATCGTGTATAATGACTCCAGCAGCCTTTTCTCACAAGGTAGTATCTTCCAATCATCCGGCCTAAGTGTTTTGTTTTTTGTTACAAAGCATGAGCTCAGCAGACAGCAGGGCCCTTTCAGATCATTTCTGCCTGATATTTATCCGTCTTGCCATGGCATCTGTAAGCATCATTAATCCCAACTCCTCAAACGCCTTATTTTGTATCCAGCCAATCCAGTACCTCTTTAATTATCACTCCAGCCCAGTCTCCTTCCACCACTTAAACCGATAACACACAAGCCTCGCATCAACCTCCCTCTCAAACCTGTCCCTCCACCCCTCCGGCATCTCCCCATAAAACCTCACAACCTCCAACCCTTTCAACGCGGCCAACACCCCAAAGAACTCATCATGCTTCTTCTCCGTCAACTTGGCCTCCCACACTTTCGGGTTCGGCGGCCCCGGCCTCGGCTCCCAATCAACAACAAGCTCCGCCAAACCCTCCGCCCGCCGCGCTACTTCGGCGAAGATGGCCAGCCACCGATTCCAGTTGGGATACTCCATGGCGATAAGAACATAAAGCCGCCGCAGACGCTCGAAGCGCAGGGTCCCGTGGACAGCGAAGCCGATCCGCCGGTCGCCGTAGCCGTGGGAGTGCACGCGCATGATGGCGTCGGCGTGGACGGGCTGGTGGAGTTCGCGGTAGACGCGCTTGCAGGTTAACATGAGCGGCGGTAAGGGTTTCTTGTATTCCCCTTGCTCGAAGTAGACGTGCAGCGGCCGGACTGTGTCGCCAAAGTCGTCATGGTCGAATGAGAGGTAGTACTCGTAGATTTTCTCTCTGATTTCCCATGGTAGGCTGAACAGGCCTGAGCCGTTCTGTTCTAAGGGTGCGCTCATGATGATTCTGTTTGTCTAGTCGTGTGCATGTGATGTTGCTATCACCATGTTAGATGGGGCAAATCGGAAGGATTGGTAGACAGCGGCTGAGCGGAAGGGTGGCCCACATACATTCTTTGTTGGTCTGCACCGCAAACTGTAATACCAGATCACTAAGACCGCAATGGACTTTCCTTCAAATAGTCTGCAGCAACTGACATGGAATGTCGTTTCTTCAAATGCAAATGTCTGCCTGTTTGCACGCCGCTGCTGCCTGGTCGTTGGTGCATGTTGTTTCTGCGGGAACGTCTTACGACGTCGGCCCAGTGGGGTTTGGCTTATTTTGCCCCGCTTCCCGGCTGTTTAGACCGAAAAACATGCCCCTTCTTCGGGTTTAAGGTGCTGACAGGCGGGGTTCCCACCCTTCGGCTCCGTCGGCCGTCCTCCGGTGCGGGTCCCCCGGCTCTTGCCCTGTTCGTCCACCGAGAGCCGGATGAGATGTACCTGCCTTGGGAGCGCACTCACTCTTTGCATGATGTGGAATATTACACGAACTCGGCAAACCAACGCTCGCATGTCGATTTGATAACCAGGGTGGTGACTTTTGACTTCTTACACAACATCCGCAACAATACCCTCCGGCGCAATCTCCCCCCTCCCAGGCGGCCCCAACTTCATCTCCTCCACAGCCTTCACCCACTCCTCCATGGTATTCACATTCGTCAACCACCACTCACACCCAGCCGGCGCATCAACCATCAACCCGTCAAGCTCCCTCGCCGTCTCCTCGGGCCGCGGGTGCCCCCGCGCAACCCGCTCCGCCAAACGCGACAGCGCAGGCGGCGCCCAAATCGCCAGCAGCGGCTCGCATACCCCTTCGGCGGTGCGGAAACACGTCACGGGCACGGCGTCGCGCTTGACGAACAGGTGGAAGAAGGCTTCTGCGGGGATCAGAGGGTAGTCGCACGCCAACACTGCCCAGTACGCCCACGCGTCGTAGCGGTACGCTGCCAGGAGTCCAGCGGCGGGGCCACCGCCGTCGGCAGTAGCATGCTTTGCATCCGGGTTTGCGGGGTGATAGTCGCGCAGGATATGTATCCTCGGAGGTGGTGTCTTGCAGTCCTCCACTTCGGCAGACTGGTTGGCGGCCTGCGCCAGCAGCTCGTCGAGGAATTCGTCTGTCTCGGACTCCTGCGCCAGCGAGATGAAGATCGTCTGCGGCTCCGGGAAGATGGTGCGTAGCAGTTGCAGCTGCCGCCGGTACAGGGGTGTTCCGTCGGGCATCCGGAGGAGGTGTTTGGGTGTGCCCATCCGGGTCGACTTGCCGCCCGCTAGCAGGAGGGGTCTCATCGCCGGTAGTCCCATGGTTCTTTTTGTGATGATGACTTTTCTCCCTTGTTTCGCTTGACCTTCTATCTGAAGGGTTGGTGCGCGAACCGTTGATCTGGAATCCTACTGCCAAAGGCGATGTAACGCGATCAACATGAGGCAGGTGAACCGCGATAAGGATGGATGTACGACATTGAGCTCGAGGTGATACTTTTGGTGAGTAAGCCGCGCGTCTGAACGTTTCCCACATCGTGTACGACACGATTTTGTTCTAGAGCGTCATGATTACGGCATGGCGCAGCTGGGGGCTAGTGTAACAATCGACAAAAAACCGATCTACCCGTTGGCCTATCCGTCCTCTATCCGCTCAGGCGTTTCCCATCTGGGCGCCCTGCATATCATCTGGCCCAACCCAACATCTTCACATCCTATCCCCCCATGTTGCCATGTGCCATTATGCCATGGGGGAAGAGAGAGATCTTTACTTTGCCCCCCCCCCCCTGTCTCACCTCTTTTCTCGAAATCCTTCTGATGTGGAACATAATCATCACCAATAAGATCACTCATCGCAGCATCAACACCAAATTCCACGTCCAGAAATTCAATCAATGCCGTTGGTCCCCAAACCAACCAATATCCCACCACAGACACTACCACACCCACCCATCAACGAACTATCATGACCAATCCGAACCGCGATCCGCGACTTCTCCGAACAATGGTTCCTCATCCCCCCCCCCCCCAAAAAGCAACAACAGCCACAGCCCTCCACCAAGTAGACTTCCGCTTCCCAGGCCTCACACCAATATCCTATACCCTCTGGGTAACCTCCATCATCCTCCTACTCATACTACACGACAACGCAAAACTCGCAGGCATCTCCAGCATCTCCAATACTTCACCTCCGTAACCCAAACTGCCTCCCTCGCCCTCGCCGCCGGTTCCCACGAGTCGCCATGGACCGCAACAGTCCACATCGTATGGTGGATCCCCTTCTCGCCCTCGCCCTCGCAACAATCCTCATCCTCACCTTCAACTTCATCAAAGGCCACCCGCTAGGCATATCCGGGCGTCTTTCGCGCCTTCTTCGGAGGGGGATGAAAATCGAACAGGACACCGTCTACTTTTGCGGGTGGGCCATGGTCTTCCTTTGGGTGAGTTCCGCTGCCCGTTTGTTTTCCTTGGATCGGCTCAGAAGGGGACTTTTTGATGTTCCAGGGCGCCTACACCAACGCGGCACTCCAGCTTAGTGGGATTTTCAGATCCAGGGTCTCCAAGGTGTGGTTTACGTGCTTGGTCGGCATGTTGGTCTTGGTCTGGCTTTGGAATGTCGGGTTGACGGTGAAGTTGCTGTCTGGTAAATTAAAGCTAGGGGATGGAATACTTTCTTCTGCACTGCCGACTAATTTCAAACTTCTCAGCCGTAATCCGGAGATCAGAAATCGAAGGGAGCTGCTCTAATTTAAATCAGGAACCCTACACAAAACCCGAATAACTGTATATCCAGGATTTGGCTAGGTTATGGTCTAGCTCCAATAGATATCGCCCATGCTTGCCGTACTTTGGAAGGCTAAATCCTAAGCTTTGCTTCTCGCGTTTGCTATCACGATCAAGGCCATTTCTGAGTAGCGTCCCAGACGTAGTATCGGAGTCTTGATAAAACAAAAAACCCAACAAATTGACCATGGCATAAGATGCTTTCTCTAGGGTTTATTCACCGGTTTAAGAATGAGACGAAAACCATAGTCCATATCTCGAAGCATCATTATAGTCTGTACTCGCTTCGAGGCCAACCAAAACATAGACTGCAGAACAAGACAATCAATGGCAACCCCAAATGCGTGACTGCCCCATATCTTGTATTGACGTCGGCAGTCTGTCAAAAGAACCTGCGGGGCTTTGGTGCCTCAGCCGTCAGTGAACGGTACGTGTAGCCTCACCGGCACTAGACGTCTAGGAGATTCGCAGGAAAGGGTGACCTCAGTACTCGTGGAAATGATATGGAGCTGCGACTATGGCCGCTACAATTTTCCATCCACATCACGTTACTTGCGACTAGTATGGAACGATATCACGTAAACGTAACAAGGCCTGTTGTCTGGAAAAGAAACCTTTTTGTTAACCTTGTGTATGACTGGAGCAAAAGTAGACTTCCGCAACTCTTTTAGCATGCAAATGCAAGAGCCAAACGAACAGCATGCCGCAAATATAGAGGAGTACCAAGTCTTCCCGCCCTATAGACTCCGAATTACCCCCTCGTCCCACGTGCCAAGCCCAAACTCCGTCAAGGTAGCAAGAATCACAGACCCAGAACTTTCCCAAATCAAATTAGGGGTATGATGCTGTCCATCTATGGCGCGGAAACCTCAAATTAACGCCTCTCAAGTGAACCCCTTATTGCTGTGCTTGCATGTTCGTTGTGTGGTGTTGTCAAATTTCAAAATAGGGAACCCCGCCGTACGGATGTATCGCTGTGCGCTGTGCGCTGTGCGGGTGTGTCGCTATACGGGAGTGTACCAAGGCGTCTTGGTGTGGTGTTGCGGGTTCAACAAACCCTTTAGGGCAATGCAGCAACGCTGCCCGCCAAAAGTGCGTAGTTGGCGAGCTTGAGAGACAAGACTCGCGATCGAGGGTAATCGGGGCTGATAATCATGCGACCGTCTTTATTGAAACCAACCTCGCCGAACGACTCGCTCAACTGCTCAAACTTTGCGTTTGGCCGGACTCGATTCAGCTCTGCCAGGATGTTGTCGCTCCAGACACCGGAACACCAGCCGTCTCTCAAGACAAAGTAGGGATTCAAGGGAGGGACGGGAGAGTCTGGGACTAGTTAGCAAGAACGGAATGCAAGAAGAAGAAGAAAAGCGAGACGTGACTTACCCAAGTCCACGAAGCGAATCCGCAGGTAGTCCAGAGCCTTGAGAGTCGACATGGAGTGAATGCCTGCCAACACAAGCATCTCGAACGAGTGAATAAAGTTCATGTCCTGAATTCCGCTGCCAGAATCGTGGAACTGAGGTACAGGCCGACAGCAATTCTTGACCGTTAGGTCAATCGTCTTGAGTCGTGTCGTTCTCGAATCCGATCTGATCGCCGCCATATTGAAGAAATTCTTGCAAACGCGGCCGGTGTAAGCCAAATGCTCCAGCGCGGGAGTTGCCTCGGCCAGCTTCGAGCAGAAGTGAACCTGGTTGGAAACCTTCATGTAGAATGGAGGGCACGTGAGCTCCCGCCGGTAGTCGCTTTCCAGGCACAAGTTGAGGTATGTGAGATTTGTGGGTAGTTTGGGTAGAATGCTGGCCATGCTCAGGTAACTCTTCGACTTGGGCTTGCTGTAGGAGCCGTGCCACTCGTTGAGGTTGGGGAGAGCTGCGAGGAAGGCTGAGAAATCCGAGTCTTCGCGCATCAGGTTCCACTGGCCTTTGGTGACCAAGGTACGAACCGAATGAAGGGTCGGCAGATGCCAGCCAGGGGGTCGCTTATGCCAACTGTGCTGTACCTTTGGTGCCTTCTTTCTTTCCCCTCCCTCGATAGTCAGGACACAGACGTCAGGAAGAGCCATCGAGACAAAGGTGAAGGCCTCTTCGAGGCTGCAGTTGTTTGCGGGGAGTGTGTAGGTCGCGTTTGTCAATCCGTCCATTGTTACCGTGGGAAGAGCAAGAGTAGTGCTCAACGCCAACGGACCGTACTTGGGCTGGAAGACTGGGAACCAGATCTCAATGTGCTTGACGTAGTGCCGGAGGTGGTTGTGTTCGCTGAAGTACATCATGGCCAGCTCTAGCGATTCGATAGTGGCCTTTATTTTGATGTGACGGTATAGGCGCTCTTGGATGAGGATCCTCCAGACGGGACTGACGAGAGCAAGTTCCGACAACTCCCTGCGTCGAGAATGGCGAAGTGCGGTTCCCCAACTTTTGGTCACACTCTGCATGCCGACCGAGCTCTTGGAGTTTGTGGATACTCGGTATCCGAAAAGGTGGTCGAGAATGCATTCGTGAATTTCGGCCGGTAAGTCATTCAAATTCAGGGAGGGCGTGACCTCGGGGGTCTCGAGAGTATAGGAAGGAGTGGTGATGCCCGGGCCTCCGTAGCCGTAGGCATCAACGTCGTCGGCCATCGGAGTGCAGCAATCCGAGTTCCGTTGATCGGGGTGTAAGAAGGGCGTGCTGCTTGGACGAGTCGGGGGCACGAATTCATTGCTCTTTGCCTGCTCGAGGGGTGGGCTTGATGGGCCGGGTGATACTGGGTTGGATGAGGTGTTGAGTATGGTTGAAAGGATGGAGGCAGAGGCTGTCATAATCGAGGTCAACTCTTCAGTGGCGTTGGCGTTGGCATGATAGTCGTCTCGCGACTGTCGCCTATCGGTACCGGAGGGGTCTCGGTCTCGGGGGACGTTGTTCGTGACGTTGGCGTCGTCGTCGGTTGAAGGAAAGGACTGTTCGACGCAAACGGACATGGTCGTCGGGGTCGAAGTGGGCGATTCTTTGGGTCGAAAAACTAAGATTTTCGGAGAGGGGAGGGTTGAAGCCGTTCCTAGATCATGGCCAGACGGGCTCTCTCCAAGGGGGGAAACGGGGGAGCGGCGGCGACGGCGGCGATAGCGGGATTGCTGATCAAGCGGAAGGGAAAAAAGGCGAAGGGAGATTGGCTCTGGGCTGCTTTGACGATGGTGGGGGAAATGAAGTGCCAATAATTCAGAGACCCTGGATAACGCAGACCGGGGGGGTCACAACAATGCTGAGCAGCTGTTTTGGTCGGCTGGCGGCCGTATTCGTCAGGTTGGTCCCAGTGGAAAGTAGCGCTGCGCTGGGGTCTCTTCGCTTCGCCCAAGCCACTTTACGCGGTCGGTCGCGTGCGCAGCAACAGGGAAACGGCCCAATGAGTGGAAGCGCCGATAAGAAGGACGGCGGCGGGAGGAGAGGAGACGATGGAGAGGAGAGCAGAGGAGGGGGTGGAGGCCAAGGCGGAGGGAGAGAATCGTATGGCTACCTGGTAACCAGGTGGTGAGGTGGTGAGAGGGCGAGAGACAGCGATGGAGTGATTGGTGGTAGACACACACACACAAACACACACATACACACAGTACGAGGTAGGTCGGGGTCCGGCGAAAGAATGGAAGTGTCGACTATTGACGACTGAGAATGCGACCTGAGGAGAGAGCCTGAGCAGATGATTTGGAGAAGAAGAGAGGGGAGCCCAGCAGTGACACGGTGATGGAAAGAAATGGGAAGAAGTGTCGTCGATAGGTGTTCGTAGAGAGAGGTTGGACTACGACAGAACGTGTCGTCGTAAAAGTTCGCCTTACAAGACGGGACAAAGAGAACAACAAAACTAAGAGGAGACAGAGGCAGAAGCAGAAGCAAAAGGTAGAATCTGGATGTGGAAGTGGAAAAAGGGTTTGTTGGTGTGTTGAATGCTGTGTGTCTGGAAATGAAACGAGTACCGGACAATTGGAAAATGGTCGAGCGGCCGGGGAGGGAAGGCAGGAAGGAAAGTGCTGCGCCTGCTGCACCTGTGCCTGCGCCTGTGTTCTGCGTTGCGTTAGGTGAGGCAGCGGTGGTGCGGGAGCGGTGCGGCTTGCGGGTACCGGTGTGGCACGGTAAGCCTAAAAGGTACTTTAGGTCTGCAAGGTGAGGACGGTCAGATAAAATAATAATAGGGGAGGTGACCCCGATTGAGGCTTGTTGTTATGCCACCAAAGTATGCCGTAAGGTAAGGTAAAGGCAATTAGTTACTGCAGTTTCGGTCTGCTGCTGCTGCTGCGTTGGTGAGGCAGGCGAACTGGCGACGGGGGTGGCGTGGTTTGCTTTCGTGTTTCCGCAGTGGACAGGCAGGTAGGCAGTGAGTTGAGTGAGGTGTGGCACAATAGAAGATTGGACGGACAGAATGTGGTAACGACTCCGTGGCGAGGTCGATAGACTGCCGGAAATACCTGACAAAATCCTTTCAACTCTCGCGGAGCCAGAGGAATGTACTTGCCGAATGGTCAAAAAAGGTCAAGAGGGCGAGGAAATTAATTACAGTCAATAATGAAGTGGTTTACTTCTGATGGATGGATACTCATTCCGCAAGTTATATTTATTGGCCGAAAAGAGGGGAAAGTAACATCAACAAGACAACTTTTTCCAAGGAAGCATGACAGCACAATGAAAGATGACGGCACCAACAGGATACACGGAACGGCAGTCGGTAGCTTATTTTCTCATTTACTGTCAGTCTCTACATATCCGCATACCTTAACTTACTGCCCCGGCCCAGACTTTCTATCAAATGCATGGATACCTATTCAACTCAAGGGACCTTATTTCAATCCCTTCGAGTGCCAGGTAAATATACTCGTAAAGGCGATGTGCAAGACGGCTGGATGCAATGGAAACACAAGGTTGAATCAAGGAATGAGGGTAAACCCTTTCCTTCTTTGCTGGATTTCTCTTTGATTCTTCTTCATTCGCGAGCACCCGGGCGACAGTTGCCGCAGTAAACAACCTTTCGAGGCCAAGAATGTACACAATATAATAAGCCTGACAGTCTAATTACCCCCCACCTTGATGCACATCAACCGACGGGACATGCGCGTGCAAAACCATATGAATGTCCCGTTTGGCTGGCTGGCCTGACACCGAATACCACCTTCACAGCGCGTTCAACGTCAGGGTGCATTGCAGCCCAGGACGTCAGAGTCAAGACGGGCTCACTGCCCACCTCGTGGATGAGACGTGCACAGCCGTCCCTGCGTGACGAGCTTCGAGGGGTAGAGTCAGTCCCATCGCATCATCTTCTTAGTTGCAAGATCGGGAGTGTAAATTGAGCCACTTTCTCGAGGTGTCTTATCGGTTGACCTTATCGCACAATCTCGGCTTATCGCTTCCCTGACAGTCACATGGTCGGGAGTCCACTTGCAAAATGCCCGATTTCATTGCCTACTTACCTCAGCAGGTACTTACAGTGAACTCAAGCAACGGAAAGACCGACGAAGTAACGACGTCGAGCCATAAGGTACATCCCACCTTTGACCGATGCATGAACTTAGAACCTGACAACGAACTGTGGCTTCATCACGTCATGGAAGTTTTTTTTGATCAAATACCTGAAGTCCCGACTTCACAGATATTACCACGACCTTTGCCATGGACTCAAGGCAATACACACTACCGACAACGGGCTACGCCTCCATCCAGTGTTGTTATCGTACGCCGTACAGCCACGGATCCTTGAGATGCCAACGTTACATATTAGTAGACGTTTAGAATTCGTCCACAGGGCCCAGACCAAGGTTCGGCATAACGACGACACAGCTGCAATTGAGTTGCTCGGGTAGGCTTCGTCAACCTTCCACCGTTTCAACTCGTTCTACAGCAAGCATGGCTGTTGCTGCGATCAACCTATTTTCTGAGCAAGAGGTCATGCGGAGGCTTTGAGTCAGCTCGGGGGGTCGGCAGAGTTTAACCTTGATTCCATGTCATGGCAAGTTGCAGTTGTACCGTAAGCTTGCCACTGAGGGTTTGATCCAGGCAACTGGCTGACCAAGCTACTACCTCGCAGATAACCGCGATCCGAGTCGTGGTCATCAGCATACTTCCCGATGACTATCAGATCGAATCCGGACCGGTCGTGTTGACAGCAATTCTCGGCAGGACTACCGACCTCAGCAATGCTGCATAGGGTACGAGAAGAGAGTGAAAGTCAGTACGACAGGCCATCACGTTACGGGCAGACGATGCGGGAGACATCTCTTTATCATTGCCGCAGACTGACTTTTGCAGGCTTGGCTGCAACGTCCAAGCATTTGGAATTTGAAATCAGCTTCGACCATCGCCAAGTCTGGACGCCAACTCTCAAGCGTACCTGAGTCAAACATCGTCCCAGGCGCGGATTTTGCATTTCGCATTCTTGATTGATCGTCCTCTCGGCGTAAACGCCCAGCAAAGTCTAACAATGTTATTGAAACGACACGTGTTGAGCCGTCGCAAGATTTTGCCGACGCCCTCATGCCAACCGCCTCAGAGCCTCTCGTTCGGATCACAGATCGCCCTGAGATGAAGCACCAGACCCTGCATTTTCGGATTGTGGAGGATAGCACGTGTCTCGACTCTTTTAATAGCAAAAGAAAGATTGACTTTCCAAGGCGCACGACGGATGAGCCGAATTCAGGGATGCGATGTCGCGGGGCTCTGCCCGGTGGGGGAGAGCCGAGACATGGCCAATGGCCACACCCGCGCGGTCGGAATGGCGGCGGGCAACGGAGATGATTTGGTCTGGAACCTGCCGCGGAAGCAGCTTCTTCACCGGCAAACGGCAAACGGCATGGCGACCGACCAGGCCTTTGGCGGCGGCTCCGAGCTGTCGCCATATTCACGCACTGATATCGAATCACAAACATGATCTACAGCATCTGCAAACATCGAATTGCGTAATGTGCTGCACTTTGACACCAGTACAGTGGAAATACGCCCTTACTGCGGCACCAAACGTCGGATGTGCGGTACGAGCTGCTTGCATCCCCAGAATTCGGTAACGTTTCTCGTACTCGAACGCGCACGCAGTGGTTCACTTCGAAGTTTTGTCAGCAGGATTACAATAAGCGAGGTGCAATAAGTAATGGAAGCATCCCCGAGAGCGACGTCCCAAAAGTCTTGGCGGTGTTCGAGCAGGGGAGCATCAACATGCCTATTCAACATCTCGAGACGAACAAGCGGAGAGAGACGCGCCAACTCCGGGACACGACAGCCTGATGATGGAAGACCGATGACGACTGATGGAGTTTGGAGTATGATCTTATTGAAACCTGCCAGGGCATCGAGAAACCCGCGCTGGTGACCATCACATTCGTGCGGTCGGAAAACACTCGTACCACAGACCGGCCCCGATAACGTTGAGGTGGTCTCAACTGTACCTGGGACAAGCGAAGGAGAGATGTATGGACCATCTGGTACATCGCATTGTAGCCAAGTCACAATGTTGATTCGATATTGCCTGCGGCTCTGGGCAATTCGATCTACAAACGGGCCAGCTGACAACTTGAGCCCTCCGTCAGGGATCGACAGGTACACACACACACACAACTGGGGCTAGCTGCAAGCCTAGCCAAGGAAATTTGGAAGTCACGGTCGAGATTTCAAGATTTCCGAAGCGCTGATCAATGCAAGTTGTTATTCCTATACCCGCTGTTCGGAAGGTGAGGAGCAGCATCCTTTGATTCGGAGACAACGGGAGCCCTACATACGCCGCGGCTCATCCTCGTGGGCCGAGTTACTGGTCCAACTTCCGACAATAACATCTTCCGGATTCCAGATTACCTTATTTCGGGTCTGGGATGTCATGGCGGATACGATGAGCTCACAAAGACCGGACCCGAGTCTAGAAGCAATCGATAATTCGATATCATCGAAGCGAAGAGACAAGCGAGCGATGTTTGTCTGCAGAGTCGCATCGTGTCGGGGGATGCGCCCCTCCTCGAATTTCCAAGTTCACGGCGGTGTCGGGGGCCGAAGTGGACTGATGGAGGAGGAGCCTAGGAGGGGGCTTCGTCGAATATCGCTTACCAACATCAACAGGCCGAAAGGTCCTGAGCATCGCAGCAGTTTGACGCTTGTTGGCGGTTTGTCCCACCAGCGCATCGAAGCCAACGTTGAGCACAACCGCAGGTCCACCCTGACCTGTCAAGACTCGAGAGGACTACCACGGTCCACGGTTCACAGGCAGGCAGAGGAACAACCAGCAAATGCATGCCTGTCTACTGCCTGTCATTCAGGTCGATACAGGGCAAATAGGCTAGATGTCAGCCGTACTTTGTTATTATGGGATGGGATGGCGGCGCAGGGGACCACGGGCGGCTGTTGAAGCAGCATTCGTCACCTCATCCGTCTTTCGCGGCGTCTCCAAGTGGCCCCTGTTTGGCCGGGGCCTCCCAGGCCAACCACGACTTGGGCGAATCTAAGACTGGCCTCATCCCTGCATGTCTCGAGACGCACGACTTGTCAAGGGCCGTCGATGTTTCATCCGTTGTCATGTCCAAGTCTACAGCCAATCAAATACGAATACAACCTCCACGCCGCGCCGTTTCAAAGTTCCCGATTGGGTCGTCACTTTTTCTGCTCGACGACATCCTCGTCGATGGCTTCGCCCTTGGCCCACGCTGCACGCACCACGCCTTCTCTGCCTTGGTGGGGGCAGCAGTTGAACCCCCTTTCAGCCGCGCGAGAAAAAAAAGAAATCAGCCCTTCGCCTCCATCATCGGCCTTGTCAATGTATACCACCCATGGACCATGGCATAATTATTGCTATCTATTAATCTATCTCAATCACAGTACCCTCACCGCTGGGAACCTCTCGGTCACTATCCTGTCTCTAGCTTTGCCAGGTTCTTTCATCCATCGGCTCGGTTAAGACTCATTGGCAGGGACGTGCCAGTCATGCTCTAGGGCTGGCCACATGCAGAAGGTATCCCAAAGTATTCGTATCGAGAGTCTGAGCATTGTGACAATAACATTGAGGATCCAAGGGATTATGATAATGGCATATTCGCGTATGACAAGGCGATCAACTGATGCGATGCAAGTCAGTCTTGCACAGGCACTGATGCAGCGGGGCCAAGCCTGCCATTACTCACGCACATTGTCGTCGACTTTACGGAGTAGACCGACGTTGGTTGCTATCCCTTCCAGATGGCGTGGTACGGCCAAACATTCCACAGTATCCAAACGGACGGGAAACGAAGCTGAAGCGCGCCGTCGTCAGCTATACGGTCAAAAGGAAGGTTGAAAGCGTACAGAAAGCACAACGTGAGGCTGCGGAATGCCCTCCCGCATCCCGAAAAGGCCGTATCGCTGCATCTTCAGCAGTCGGACTACCTAACAGTGACACTCGGTGGACCGTGTATTGTCTGCCTGTCTCCTAGGAAGGGGCTGTTTGGAGTCTCTGACTGGTTTCTAATCGCACGCTGAAAAGGCTTGGCTGTTAGACAAACCATACAATGTACAACCACGGGCAGGCAATGGTGCAGTAGTACACCACAGCCGTTGTGTGCGACTACGCGGATACAACGTCGAGTAACTCAGCCTTGGCCTTGCATAATCCTCATACGCATGCACAATAACGCAGCGCATGTCCGCCAGCAAGCCACCGCTATTCGTGTGAACCTGGGATCTATGGATCCCGAGAGCGCATGGGAGATCGCTCCATTCCGAGATGGGAGGCTCCCGAGATTGAACGAACGTGCGCGGCCTTTTTGGCTCCTCTCTCGTGCGACATAGCCTAAAAGATTGGCAACGCTGTCGACGCACGCCAGATTACGAAAGACATGCGGGAAATAATTAGAGGGAGTGGACGGTGCTTTATTGAGCTAAACTCCAAGGGGAGTATCTCTCGTCCGAGTCGTCTCTCAATCTGCTCATCCTCCCAAAGCGGAGACAACCATTCGAACTTTGAATCACCAGCAGGCACTGAGACTCTGAGACAGGCCTCCCGAACGAACTATGAATGCCACGATAGGTGTCAGAGTTCATCGCAGCCGGGCCTCCAGATTGAGTGCTAGATACCCTATCGAGCCGCGTTGGCAACGGCGGATAGAGTCGAAGCCGTCATGCGGATCGTGCGGGCAGCCCGCCGCTCTCACTTTCGCCTCATTTCGGGTCAGCGGGGTGGTTTGACCTTAATCGGCCCAGCGAACGAGTATACGCAGCTTCATTGTCCCGCCGTCCGCGGGCATTTGGCGTCTGCCACCTGCCAATTCATCTGAGGTGACCTATCCAATGGAGGTGTGCGTGTTCCCCAGCTCCCAGCTTACCTGAGCGATAGCACCAGCACCCCGAATGCCCTGGATTGGCATGCCGCATCACTGATCAATGGAGGGCGCCTCCCGTACCTTAGTACTTAGCGTTCGTAAAGTGCCCGCCTGCGTAGCGAGCCAGAAACTGGAGACTGACGACGACTGGTCCTTTAGGTTCCAAACACTGGACTGGACTGAACAGACCTGGCCAAGTGCATCCCATCCGTCCCAATTCCCTTCACCCAACTCCCCCTTCTCAGCCCTATCTTTCTCACCTCAATTTTTACCCCTCGCATCGCATCGCAAAGCCTGGCCTCGTCTCTTGCCGTCTCGTGCCCAACGACCTCGCTCCACACCCAGCTCGCCTCTTTGCAGGCCCCCTTTTCCCATCGCGACTTGATCCAGAGCTGGTTCTCGCCTAACCGTTCCCCTTCACCGCTCTGTTTCTCTGCCATCCGAGTACCCTCGTATCCATCATAGATACCCCCCCGGCCGATTAGTACCCCCTTTCGATTTCGCCGCTTCAATCTTCACACACATCACCAGCAATCATGGACCCCGAGGGAGCCAGCACGCCTGGCGAGGGCAGCCGCACCCAGCAGCAGGTCGACAATGCCATCCGCGCCATTCGCGAGAAGAAGCCCCTGCCCGAGATTGATTTCACCATTCATACCATGGAAGATGGCACCCAGGTCAACACCATGGAGCGAGTCTGCAAAGGTACGCTTGATGCTCCCGCTATTGCTTTGCCTCCGCCAGCCTCGCCGTCATCGCTGCGAATGTCTTCGTCTGGACCTTGTCTCCACGCAACCCAGTGACCTCAGCGCTAACTTGACTTCTTGCCACAGACGTCCAGGCCCCCGCCATGTTCACGCCCTCTGACGAGCAGTTCTTCGAGGACGAAACCCACACAAAGCCCAACATCAACTTCCTCAAGCAGCACTTCTACCGCGAGGGTCGCTTGACCGAGGAGCAGGCTCTATGGATCCTCAAGACCTGTACCGAGGTCCTGCGCGCTGAGCCCAACCTGCTCGAGATGGATGCGCCCATCACCGTCTGCGGTGACGTCCACGGCCAGTACTACGACCTCATGAAGCTGTTCGAAGTCGGAGGCGACCCCTCCGAGACGCGCTATCTCTTCCTCGGCGACTACGTCGACAGAGGCTACTTCTCCATCGAGTGCGTCCTGTATCTCTGGTGCTTGAAGATTCACTACCCCAAGACTCTGTGGCTGCTTCGCGGCAACCACGAGTGTCGCCACTTGACCGACTACTTCACCTTCAAGCTCGAGTGCAAGCACAAGTACTCCGAGGCCATCTACGAGGCCTGCATGGAGTCCTTCTGCTGCCTGCCCCTGGCTGCCGTCATGAACAAGCAGTTCCTCTGCATTCACGGTGGCCTGAGCCCGGAGCTTCACACTCTCGACGACTTGCGCAGCGTGAGTATACACTCGCCTCTGTATGAGGCTTATAGCTAACGATGTACCTCGCAGATTGACCGTTTCCGCGAGCCCCCAACCCAGGGCCTCATGTGCGACATCCTCTGGGCCGACCCTCTCGAGGACTTTGGCCAAGAAAAGACGAGCGACTACTTTTTGCACAACCACGTCCGCGGATGCTCCTACTTCTTCTCATACCCCGCCGCATGCGCATTCCTCGAGAAGAACAACCTCCTTTCCGTCATTCGTGCCCACGAGGCGCAAGACGCCGGCTACCGCATGTACCGTAAGACTCGCACCACGGGTTTCCCCAGTGTCATGACCATCTTCTCCGCGCCGAATTACCTCGACGTCTACAACAACAAGGCTGCCGTGCTAAAGTACGAGAACAACGTCATGAACATTCGCCAGTTCAACTGCACGCCTCACCCCTACTGGCTGCCCAACTTCATGGACGTCTTCACCTGGTCGCTCCCCTTTGTCGGTGAAAAGATTACCGATATGCTCATCGCCATCCTCAGCACGTGCTCAGAGGAGGAGCTCAAGGAGGACGCCACCCCGTCGTCCACATCCCCCGGCCCCATGTCGCCGCCCCTCTCCGGCGCCTCGCAGGATCCCGAGTCGATCGAGTACAAGAGACGGGCTATCAAGAACAAGATTCTGGCCATTGGCCGTCTCTCGCGTGTATTCCAGGTGTTGCGCGAAGAGTCGGAGCGTGTCACTGAGTTGAAGACCGTCTCCGGTGGCAGATTGCCTGCCGGTACCCTGATGCTAGGCGCCGAGGGTATCAAGAACGCCATCAACACATTCGAGGATGCTCGCAAGGTTGATTTGCAGAACGAGAGACTTCCACCCAGCCACGACGAGGTTGTGAAGCAGCAAGATGAGGACCGGAAGCAGGCGTTGGAGAAGGCGGCCGAGGATGCGGCCAATGACAAGAAGCTGCAGCAACTTTCTAGGAGATTGAGCACGTGAGTTGTGGTGCACCGCCCCTTGAAGTTTCTTTGACTGACACATTAGCAGCGACCGTAAGAGTCACAAGGGATGAGACGGCGATTACTTGGGGTAGAGGTGTTGGCGATAGAAGGCCCGCGGCGGATGATAGCACACTAGGGCGTCAAGGCTTGGTTTGTTTCAACAAATTAGCTCAGCTAGGAAAGCTGGCATACGAATACAATTAAAGCATTTCAACTTCACGAGGGTCTCTGGGGGCGTGTTGGGGGCGTGTTCTTGATTATGTGCTAAACCGTAGGCTATCGTGTGTACAGTGTAGGTTACATGATGGAGGTTTGACAGCGTAAGTCTGGGGTTTCGGGAGACCATGTTGATTATTTTACCACAGACCCCTGGCAATCTTCTCCAAGCTGGTGATAGATACTAAACCTCATGTTCCTCGAAGTGTTTTACATTCGCTTGCATTTGGCAGTTTTGTATACGGTGTCTCAGAGGACCAGGGAAACTGGGGAAACCAGACTTTCAAAAGATGGCGAGAATATTGGGTGGGCTATACGATCCGTCAGCCAAGACGCAAACCAGACTTCGACAACTCCAAGTCAAACGGGGTACTCTTGATCTCACCTCGCGACACCGCCGGGGACATTGCACGGCTCGCTCACGACGAAGAAGCTCCACCTCTTTTCGCGCTTACACTGCGCCGCCAGCGCTTCCAGGTCGAAGAGCTCGCCGACGGGCATGCCCCAGCCGGCGAGGAGGACCTCGTGCATCCAGTGCTTCGGGTCGCGGTGGGGCCAGCACTCGAAGGACGGCTGGTCGCCTGCCACGGCGGAGAAGTTGGACCAGACCCAGCGGAGGGTCTCTTCGGATTGGGCTACGCCGGAGAAGGTCTGCGGGCTGGCGGCGAGGTGGTCGGACAGGGTTGAGGGGGGGAGGGAGGCGTGTGTTGCTGTGAAGCCTGTCGTTTTGTTGTTTAAGTCATGTTCTCGTGAGAGAGTTGTGATGTGGGGAGAGAGGGACGTGGTATGGGGACAGGGGGCGAGAGGAGACAAAACAGAAAAGAGAGAGAGAGAGAGGGAGAGAGGAGGGAGATACCTGTACGGGTGATGAGTATGTCACCAAATTTGATCTCGGTGCCCTGCGCCTTGAGGCAGGCCTGGAGATCCGCGACGGGGATGGAGTCGCGCGCAAAGGGGTCGTAAGGCATGTTTTGCTCGAGGCGCCAGGTGTGGTAGTCTACGAGGACGCCTCTGCCGACGATGCCGTGTTTCTGCCAGGCTTTTTCTGGGATGTCAGCACACTGTTGGAACCCAAGCACGCCGTGACAGGCGCACGGGGGTTAGACTCGACGCTCGACAGAGCTAAAATGAAGAAGCAATCGGGAGCGCAGGGGAAATCGAGAGAGATGGTTTTACCTTGGATCCCATTCACGGTCGACCGCCTCCCCTCCTCGTCCACGGCGTGGACCTCGTCCATGGAGACGCCGTTGTAGAACTTTTCTTCCTTTTGGTACCCGAAGTGCCGGAGGCCGTCCCACTGCGACGACGACTGCGAGTTGAAGGTCCACTCGTCGTCGTTTACGAAGCGCGGGTGCTTGCGGTAGAGGTCGTGGTGGAAGGCGCGGCGGTTGAAGAAGGGGGCGGATTGGGCTGTCAGGGGCCAGTTGAGGGAGACTCTGTGCGGTCCCGTCAGTTTTTATTTCCCCGAGATTCCATCATCTCGCATCTCATGAATCCCCTTTTCTTCACATGGTACAAGGTTTGGGTATCGTGGACTTCACGTGGAGGAGGACGACGATGGCGATGTGCTCAGATGGTCAGGTTTACCTCGCGCCCGTCTTGATCTCCTCCCTCGCGGCAGCAGCGACGCGCTCGTCGGTCAACCTGTTCAGCGTCCCCAGCTCGTCCTTGTCGCCGTAGAGGCCCCAGGCCGAGAAGCGCGGGTCGTCTTTGCCGAGGGGCAGCGACTCGAACGGCGGGATGCCGTTTTCGTCGAGGGCGAATTTGGAGTCTGCGGGGGCCATTGTCTCTTCGTCTGGTTTAGAAGAGGTCTGTGTGAGTTGGTTGCCGAGCTGTTGGAGGCGCTTCATTGCCATTTCTCTGGTCTTTTTTTTTTTTCTTTCTCTCTTCACCTATTTTTCGAGTCTGAAGTTCTGCAGGATTTGGAAGTGCTCCAAGCTTGGTTATGTTTGGTCTGCGACAGGTTCGTTGATTCGATGGGGTAGGTGATGTTATCTCGGCTTGGAGCTCATGCAGGTGTTGCTTCTCCGCACTTGTGTGAGGCAATCCGATTGTCATTGAGGAGTTGGCGTAGCAGACCGTCATCCGGTCTCTTATTCCCGGGGGCTGGACAACATCGTCCGGGAGAGGGGGTGCCGTAGCGCAACGCAGGATGCATGCCGGTGTTGGCCAAACGTTGCCCCTGCGATTGGCCAGCGGTGATGATGCGAGGAATTCGAAGTTCCTGTGAACGAAGTCTACGACAGCACCGGTGGGGCTTACGCGATGGTGGACGAAAGATGAGCAGCAGTCCTCTGGTGTGTACACTCGGTGCGGATGAAAACCGGCGCCGGAAACGAAACAGGGCGCGAACTGCAATGCCTTGCTTGCAATAACGTGTGATTCAAATTCTGATGCTGACCATATCACCTCTATCTACCCATCTATCCTAGTTTCCCTTCAACTTATCCCAAAACGAGCTGGGGGCCTTTTCGACCGGGGGTGACAGGATGATCGTGTTCCAAACGATCTCGCCGTCAATGTATAGGTTGTACTTGAGAGAGCTCTGCTCGCCCTCCGCTAGGTTCTCAATGGTCAAAGAGCCAAACTTGGAGTTGCCAGAGTGGATGTACCTATGCCTGTTAGTATCGTACCTTGAATGTTCTGCGACTGCACTTACTTGAGAGACACATCCTCGTTGTCGGTCTGTCTGTAGCTTGGCAACGGTGATGCAAATTGGTTCAGCGGACTGCACGAGAACTCGTATGCGGCGGCGCTCTCAGGCCATCTTCCATCGGCGGGAGGGGGAAACTTGGTGGCCGCAAACTCGTGGCGATCGCCAGAGACGACGACAACACCAACGCCCCTGGCGCCAGCATCCCACATGGCCTCCAAAATCTTGCGACGCTCCACCAGGAAACCTCCCCACGTATCCTTGCGGTTGATGGGCCAGTTCTTGGTCAGGGGAATCGACGAGGCAACAATCTTCCATTTGACCCCCTTGGGCTCAGGCCGGTTCAGCCAGGCGAGGAAGTCCTCCAGCTGCTCAGCACCCAGCATCGTCTTCTCCGGGCTGTCGGAAGGAACGTCATTGTCGGATCGGTACGAGCGCGTGTCGAGCATGAAGAAGCTCGCGGGGCCCTGGACAAACTCAAAGTAGGTGGCGCCCTGTCTGCGGAGGTTTGTGGTCCCGGCAACGCGAGCGGGAGGCGGGTTGGCCAGCTCCTGGTAGTGGTGCCACGGCTCGATTGCGGCCCGGTACACGCCAGTGGTGTTTGACGACCAGTCGTTGCCGATTTCATGGTCATCAAGAACGTGAATCCAGCTGAGATTCTGTCCTACGGGTGCCCAGTCCGGCGAGGCGTAGACGTGACGGTACTTTTGGCGGTAGTCCTCCTCATTCTTGCCCTGGCGTTTGGGTACGTCAATGTAGATGAAATCGCCCAAGAAGAGCATGAACTGCGCCTGCAGACTAGGTAAGACCCTCGCCAAATGGCGCATGCCGGGAATCGCCAGGGCGTGCTCCAAGGGGTTATACGGAAAGCGTGGCAGGATGCACGAAGTCGACAAGAAGGTGAACTTGTTGTCGTTAAAGGTCGACATCTGCCCAGCTCTAGGCGGGGCCACGAACTCGCCGCTGTGGTTGTTGGACGTGCGCCACTCATAAACTCTCTGCTGGGAGTGCTTCAGGGGCACGGTCAAGGTTGTCGCAAAGTCGGTCGTGTTGTCGGTGAATCTCAGCCCGCCACCAAGCTGCCACATGGGGTTGTCAAAGGGTGGCTGCGGGTCCTTGATGTGAATCTCGAGCGTAACGGGCATCTTGGCCTGGTCGGGTTCGCGAATGACGAATTTTGCCTCTGTCGGAGAGACATAGCCAAGACGCACAAAGGAGAGGTCGTCGACCGGATGGTACTGTCGAACGCGGAATAAGAAGTCGGCCGTCATTGCGACCAAGGCCAAGTTGATCAGGAAGGTCAAGATGGAAAGAATAGGGCTGGTCGAGCTCGGTGTTCCCGCCAGGAGCGTCTTTAGTGGACTGGACTTTTCTGTAACGACGATAGTCTCTTCGACCCGGATCTCTTCAGCAACGACATGGCCGTTGGTGGCGCCGCCGACATCCTCGGTAACAGTCTCTTTGACCGTCACGTCCACGTCGTCCTCCACGACATCGTACTTTGGCTCATTAATGTACCCAGATACGAAGGAAGGCACAAAGACTGCAAAGAGTGCGAATATGCTCATGGGCACAGCAGCCTAGACCAACCATGATCAGCACGATGCGCCAAGCCTGGACATTCAAACGCTCGGGAATAAGTGGAACTTACTGGGCCGGGGAACTAAAGTTGCATCCAATGATTAGCGACCAATTGTTAAAAGACAAAGTTGAAGAACCTACCCATCGCAGAAAGAGGTACGAGACCGCTCTCAACGCGATTGAGGATGTGGTGGCGATGCGCGTCTGAACCGCCATGACGCCGAGAGCTCCGTAGTGGGTAGATGTTGGAACTTGCAGGTTGTAGATGCGAAAGATTGAACTGGTGGAGGAATAGTGGAATTAAATAGTTTGCAGGGATCGTCTACGAAAGAAAAAAAAGGCAAGAGCTGCTCCCCTTGCAGCTGGGTATTGAAGAGAAAGGACGAGACAATGGAAGAAGGTTTGATAGAATGTGCAGGTGGTACTCCGTGGACCTGCCCTGCCAGAGGGAGGTGGAAGCTCTGCCAGACGTGACGTGACAGCTGAGCTGACTTCTGAAGAGATGAGGTCACTGATTGATGATATGCCCCGTAGGCGCTGAAACACCGATAACAAGCCACCTCCCGTTGCATGTGAGCGTGGCTGGTGAGGGAGCTGTTGCTGCTGTGGGGACAGTGGACTGGAGGTGCAAAGGTGCCACCTTGCTCTCCCGCAGCGCTGCCGCTGGCCCGTGCGTGCTCCCAAGGGGCGTAGCGGCGCCAATTTTCCGCGCCGAACTTTCAATCGTGGCCCGTTCTAAGTGACCCTTTTGGCGACAGCTTGTCCAGAATCCCCTGCTTCACGAGTCGACGAGAGATACCCTCACGCGCCCACCCAGGACTCTCCCCACGCAACAACACATCATGAGGGTGTCCGCCATTGCCTGCGGGCTTTTCGCCTGCTTCGTTTCCCAGGTCGCTGCCACGGCATTGACCTACAAGCTCCACGCCAACGAGAAGGCCTGCTTCTACGCCAAGACCCAGAAGGATAACGAGAAGATTGCCTTTTACTTTGCCGTGCGTTCACCACCACTTCAAAGTGCTGCATCAAGCTAACAGCGATGCGTAACAGGTCCAATCCGGTGGTTCTTTCGATGTCGACTACACCGTCACCGGCCCGGGCAACAAGATGATCCTCGATGGAGCCAAGGAGCGCCAGGGCGACTTTGTTTTCACGGCCCAGCAGATGGGCGACTACGAGTTCTGCTTCAACAACGAGATGAGTACCTTTGCCGAGAAGTTTGTCGACTTTGAGATTGCCGTACGCTCCCGAATAACTCCCAACCCAAGCTCTACTGACCCATGCCAATCCAGGTCGAGAACGAGGTTCGCGCTCAGCTTCCCGCCAAGCAGGGTGCCTCTCCCGAACAGCACTCCACCCTCGAGGAGACCATCTTCAAGCTCTCCGGCCAGCTCTCGACCATCTCGAGAGGCCAGAAATACTTCCGCACCAGAGAGAACCGCAACTTCAGCACCGTCCGCAGCACCGAAGGCCGCATCATCAACTTCAGCATGATCCAGTGCGCCCTCATCGTGCTTATGGGAGCTCTGCAGGTGTTTATCGTTCGCTTCTTCTTCCAGGGCGCGCGCAAGGGCTACGTATGAACGGCGCAACGAACCAAAAAAGTTTATTCTGGATTTCATCGCGGCGCGGGGTAAAAGGAGTCACCAGGGACTCGTGTATATCACAAGTAAAAAGAGACTTGATGTGGTTCACGGAATGAGATATCTACGACGATCAAAATTCAGCGCTGTTGTCATGAAGAAGGGAGTCTGCGGGTCGACTGGTCCGTAAATGGGAGCCTCGGAGCACATGTAGCACCGGTACCGCTAGTGGACTTGATGAATGGTTTAATGAGTGTTCTCCCTAGAGTCGAGGTTCTTTGTGACGAGGCTGTTGCCATGATGTGTTTGCCTGCAGGTGTCGGGGCCGAGAGCTTGAACGCTTTCAAGGCCCGACGGACCAACAGGTACTATATGCGACGTCCCGCCAGGCCACACTTTCCCAAATGCCAGCCATTGCCTTTCCTCGCACACTACTCTTCCACCAAACTTTCGGACCTACAGCTGTCGCAGTTGTGCTAGAGACATTGATAGACGGCGTCAACCACTGCCATCCTGAGTGAGCTGTCGGCGACATTTGATTGGCTGAATCTGTGGCTCGTGCACAAGCCACGGCAGGCTGCAGGTGGACCCGCAGTGGTCTGCCCAGCTTGGGCTTGAGCTTCACGAGCTGCGATAGCAACGGTAGCCTCGCGTGCGACCTGTGTAGGTCCTTTCTAGCGACTTTGCTCGGACATATCGCAACCTCACGCGCGCATCCTCCAAAGATCAGCGATACTTATGGACCCGAAACCGCATACGCCAGCCCAATCCGCCGCGCCAACGAGCACCTCCAAAACAACACACCACCTCTGCTGAGGTGGATCGCGACTCGTCAATGCCGAGGGACTCGCGCCGCAGCTCCAAAAACCCAAAAAAGCACAAGGAACAGCCAAAGGAGGAATGGTACATCATTAAGGATATCCTACAAGAAAGGCGAAACGGCTCGAATATTGAATATCTCGTCGATTGGGAAGACAACCCGGAAACCGGCGAGCGATACCGTCCCACGTGGGTAAGTCTAAGTGCCCCCCCCCTTGTTTATCGGAGCGATTGTTAACTCCAACCAGGCCCCAAGCAAGGACGTCACCTCGAAAGCGATATTCGATTGGAGAAGGAAACTCGATTTGGTCTATCAAGAGGACGGCACCGCGCCAGCAGGAGAGCCTGTATTGCGGGACGTCCGAGGTGTAGCACAGCAGGGCTCACCGGCGCGTACTCCGTCCACCAGGTCGATCGACAGTAGCCAGCCCGTGCAGACGGCAAACAGACGCAGGAGATCGCAGTCTAGGCAGTCAGAAGATCTGCAGAATCCGGACTCGGACAACGACTCGAACCCACCTCAGCAGAAGCGGTACCCTAGTGAGGTTCCTTCCCTGCTGTCGTCGGCATCAGAGGTTGATACCGACGCTGCCTCGGATGTTGTATACAACAACACCACGGCCAGCTTCTTCGTGGCGATTCCCTCCAAAGTAGATCGCGACTTTTCAGAATACATTAGTATATCCGACTCGCGAGGGTCAACGTCGCTCAGCTCACAGCCCATCTCGGCCCTTGAAGACGAAGACAGCCAAGTAGTCATCACCGAGGGCCTCAGTCAAAGGACGATCCCCGATTCTCAAGAGTACTCAGCATTCGATACCCAGGACTCGCCGTTCTCCAACAGACAAGGGGCCTCGACAAGCAACAAAGGGGACGCCTGTGTCGAGCGTGAGATTCCGGATTCGCAAAAGCAGTCTAGCCTGAGGACCTCCCTGAGTAAGTCTACGGATTCCCAGGCCCGATACCTCAGTCCAGCGGATCACCGTTCACACTTCTTTGTGCGTCGGACACCCTTGGAGTCGCCTCACCCGGCATCTCAGAATCACCCACCGGAGCCGGTGTCGTCGGGTTACATCCCTTTGACGCAGAACAGCCCTGAACCAAGCCAGGGCCCAAGCTTTGACCTCGACCAAGCCTCACCTTTTAATCGGCATTCCGCCGTAGAGCCTGCAGCATCGCACCCACCTCGACGCGCCTCACGTGAACACGACTCCCTTCCTTCAGTCTCTGATAGGTCAATTCCATCTCATCAGATCGACGACCTGCGCGCAGTCGAGCAGGCTGAAAACTCCGCCATTGGAGACTATCCCCAGGACTCGCAGCCTACCAGGACGCCCATTTTCCTCACCCAGCCTGCCTTTGATTTCGACACCTCGACTTCTCAAGCAACTTCATCAGCGAAGAGCGCCTCCAGTAAGTCGCAACAACAGACCGAAAATCAGGAGTGGGCGACTGAGCAAGTCATTGCTTGTTCTGATACACGCCCCAGCCAGAACACGCAAGCTGCTCAAGTCGTTCAACCTCTCCTGGATATTTCCGCAAGCCAGAGCTCCACGGAAGAGCCTGTGGTCCCTGATACCGTCCGTCGAAGACCTTCGCGCATACGCTTCAGTCCCACAGTCGCCAGTTCAGGCTCGCCTCCATCACAACGCGACGAGGACGAGGTTTCCGAGGCCGACAGTTTTCAGACTTGCTTCGAAAGACGGTCACTCCCCCCTCATCCCTCATCATCCAACAAGTCTCAGGGCTCTGACCGGCCGCTGAGTCTACCTCCAGCCATGGACACTTCGGGCGATGAACCACTCTCGGCGATAGAGGAGCTGATGAGGATCCAAGAAGCTGCGTTGCAAGGCACATTAGGCGAGGCAGGATTGACGAGTCCGACGACTGAGTCGGCTCAAATTCGTCACGATGACCCCTCTCTGGTCGCGGATCTTGCATTCTCAGCGCCCATGGATCATCCATCCATCCAAATCAACTCGCAGCCGCCTCTCACAGGAAACTGGACCATGGGAGAGCCAGTCACGTCGTCTACAGATATGCCTGGACTTGCCGGCGCCCCGGTCGAGCCGGCGATGGAGCCTCTGATCCACGAAGAGCACCAAACTGCTAGCATGGGAGACATCTTTCCCAGCAATCTCATGCCACCTGAAGCAGCCGAGCAGCTTCCCATCACCATATCCCCCTCAGACATTAGCAGATCAGTCGAGCCCGAGGAGGCATCGAACACACTTCCTCAGCCCGAGGACCATCCTATGGATATGCTGCCGGAAGACCAGACCACCGCAGGCGACCAAAGCACTGTCACTTCGCCGGACATTGAAGAGCCATACCTTTCAGGTCCCCCTACGACCGTGGACCAGAGCGAATACTTGGTTACGCTCTCGTTTCCGGCCAACATTCGCCCCCTGTATCGGAGCACCATCAAGTCCTATCGCAATATGATTGAGCAATTCACCAAGGATATGCAGTCCGAGGAAGACATCCCCGATAAAACCGCTATAGAGTCTATTGGCAAAATGTTCAGCCAGCTTCGCGACATTTGCGACATGCCCGCGCCTCTCGACGGTGACTCGATTGATGCCTTGTCCGCAGAAGACCTCAAGAAGCATGCCATGGGCACCAATAGCAAGTTTTTCTTTGTGGGCCGATTCCTCGAGCGACTCCAGACAAGCCACAAGAAGATACTCATTCTTGCGCGTGATATCAACGTCATCGGGTACCTCGAGGCTATCGTCGGCACCGGGGATATGGCATACTCGCGAAAGGGGTTGCATGAGCTGGAAAGCCAGGATGAGCATTCTCTGCTCGTCGTTCTCGTGCACTCCGAGCAGGCTCTCGTCGATGACCTAAGCGACTTTGACGTCGTCATTGGATTCGACAATGGCATTTTGCAGACAGACCTCCTTGATCAATGGGGCAAGATGAACGGGAAGAAGCCAATGTTGCTGAGGCTCACGACGACGTGCTCTATCGAGCACCTGGAGTTACTGTTGCCGGCGGATTTCACGGGCTTGGTACGACAGAATGCGCTATGCATCGCCGTGTGCCAGTCAAGAAAGATGAGCTATCTTGACGAAAGAGATAACCAGGGCGTCATGATTGATCACTACGCAGTTTCGTTTGCCAATCAGGCAATCCTTCCCGACCCCGGCTTCGACTGGGACCCTGAGCTTATCCCCTCCTCTGTTCTGGACTTGTACTCGAGCAGCCAGCCCGAGAGCCAGGCGGAGGAGCCGACCCGCAAGCGCAAGACTGTGAGTTGCCCTTTTGTGGTACAGAATCAGTGCTAATCAGGTGCGTAGGATGGCGAGCAGCAGCAAGCTGTCAAACGCCTTCGGGTCAGCCCGCTCCCTGGACAAGATCCAGGAGACATTGACGCAGCGGTTAGCAGTCAGTTGAATCCTCGACCGTCACAGCTGCACGTCCAGACGACCCAGGAGCATCTGGACACTCTAACGGATAAGGTAGGGAGCGTTGGCACGGCTCAACATTACAGATTGCTAACGGAGTATCAGGTGTCCGAACTCGAGCATCAGCTAGAGGAGAAGAACAGCATGGAGTCCAATCTCCGGAAACAGGTCATCAATCTCTCCAAGAGGGTCAAGAGCTACGACGAGACCACCAACTCCATTCAGGCGGCACACATGGCGTCGCTTCGGGAACGGGCCAAGTTCGAGGCTGAGCGCGATGAAGCAAAGAGAAAGGAGGAACAGGCCCTGGAAAAGAGCCGCGAGTGGCAAGAAAAGGCCCAGGCTTTCGAAGAGAAGTTAAAGGTCAAGAGCGCCACTCTCGAAGAAGCCCTCGTCAACGCCGGCTCCGTCGCGACGGAGACGTTTAAAGAGAAGACGGCAGAACTCGAAAAGGCCTTGGCCAAGGTGGCAGAGCTCGAGAAGAAGCTCGAGAGCCGGGACGGCGAGCTAAGCTACGCGAGAGACGCGTATCAGACGGCCAACCATTCCAACAGCGAGCTCTCTCGCGAGAACCGTGAGCTCAAGGAACAGGTGGCCGCGATGCAATCGTCAGTCCCGGGTAACCTCGCGCAGGTCCTCAACGTCACGGCCAACGCCGGACAGCAGGTCAAGGAGATGCAGAGGCAGATTGTCGAGACCAAGGCCATCACCAAGGACCGCGAAAAGGAGCTCGCACGCGTGGAGAAGGAGCTGCGGGCGCTCAAAAACGGACGCAGGGAGACGAGGCAGCAGAGCGTGCCCCGAAGCCCGCGGCTGAGCGTCATGAGCCCGCGAACGGGACGCGCTGCTGGCGGTGGTGGTAACGGTGGTTCGGCTAGTCGAGGGACGTCGCCTACGCCGCATGAATCTGGCGGCGGTACGCCCGTTGCGGGTCTGCAGTTTTTTAATAACTCGGCCAACAACAGGTGGCCCCATTTGCGGGATTGAAGACGTGGGTTTACGTGATGGCGGTCTTGGGGATTGAGAGATTGCGAGGAGAGTCTGGAGATGTCGGGGGAGGACATTGTACTGATTTGATGTGTACCGTTGTTACCGAGAGCTCGGTAATGGTTTCCTTACCCTTAGAGAGAAAGATACCATTGAGAGGGTTTCGCTGTGTTTTGATGCCTTGGCTCTGAGAGGTTGTGGTTGAGCTGGATAGTTATCAGATGGCTATATGCTACGAAAGACACGTCTTGCTATCTCGTTGGTGATGATCAGAAAGCTGTCGCTTGGCAACCTGTGACTAGATGCATCGAGGCGTTGCATTCCCGAGACGTTTGGAATGCAGGTCCCCCAGTTGTTCCCCACTGAATTGGCTCACTTGCTTGCTCAACGTCACGACTGCCCAGGAGAAGCACGGCAGGCTGGGTTCTGGTAGACAGACAGGTTGAACATATGACATTGAGAAGAGGCTCTAAGATGGTACATGGGACTTTGATTTGGGAAAATCACACTACCAAGAAAAAACTCCCCCTCCCGTTCTATCGGACTTCTCCTACAGACACAAACACACGCGGCAAGCAGACTTTGTCGGGTTTTGCTCCTTTCTTTCCTCTCTTCTTGGCTCCTGTAGAAATATACAAGTTGGTTTCGAGTTTGATATTGTTTTGGCCCTAGCCGGGGTAGTGTCGGTTCCAACGAATCTCGATATCCCCTTTCGTTTTGACCCTCGTTTTGAATTCGCTGAATTCGGAGGTCGAAAACTTAGTTCTTCTCCTCGGGGTAGATGTCCTCCTTGAGGGGGACGCCGAGCTCTTCCCTCAGGGGCTTGAGCTCCTCGAGGTACTGCTCGTACTGGCCCTTGTTCTCGACCTTGGCCTTGACGCCTGTTGGGTGTGTCAGTTGGGATTCAGTCAGTTGTGCAGGGCATCCGCAGCGTTGCTCGGGCCTGCGGAAGACGGGAACCCGGGTGCACGTTGCACGGCTGCAACAGCAACTGGGGGAGGGGGGGATGCATACCCTCAAAGATGCGGACGGCGGTAGCAAAGTCGTTGACGCGACGGGCGGCCTTGAGAGCGGCGGCGACGACGGAGGGAGAGGGGACCAAGTCGTAGGCGAAGGCGTTGTTGAGGTTACGCTGTTGTTGCGGTAAAAAAAGAGTCAGCCTCGCCCCATCAGACCACTTCTCTGCCGGGGGTACGGGTAGTAGGGGACTAGGTTCAGATCCCGAGGGCATAGTGTCAGAGGCCGTACCTGAAGCTCGAAAACGTCCTGGACGCCATCGAATTCCTTCTCGAATCTGTGGTGCAAAAGTTAGCGGTGCCAATTGAGAAGCGAGTCCGAGGGTCGACGAGGGTCAATGGCTTTGTCGCGCGGATGAAGAGGGATGGAGATGGTGGCATGATGGTGGTTGGCGGGCAAAAAAAGGCACCAATCCTTCCAACATCCCTATCGTCCCTCTCGCCCGAGAGTTTCCCTCCAACCCGCACGACCCCCCCTTCGAAACCACCCAATCGAACAATCCAATGCAATGTATAGCTCACCTCGCGCTGAACTCCTCGAAAGTCTCCTCGGCGTGGTCGCCGGAGCGGAGGCGGGCGCTGGTGCTGAAGTTGCTGGCGGCCGGGACACCCGCGACGATGGGCAGGAGCATGCCGGAGCGGGCGACGAGAGGCTGGCGGATGGGGTTCGCGCGGAAGAAGCTGGTCGAGCCGCGGGCGGCGACGCGGAGGATAGAGGCAGACATTTCGTTCGATTAGAGAGGGGAGTGGTAGCGGGTCGACCGAGAGGAGAGGCGAAGGCGGAGAGGTTGCTGCGTCGGTGACGATTATTTTTTTCGCGAAAGCTACGGGCGTTTCGTTCGGGATTGAGTCGGATGATGTGGTTGGAGTTTGGTAGGCACGAAAAAGGATTGGATTCTGCGAGATTTTGATTGGATGACTAAGCCGTAGCTTTGGGGTGTGCTTTGCTTTGGGGAGAGCCAATGGCTGTGAAGCTCCAGGCCGTGTGAATTGTGTCTGGGCTGCCGCTGCCTGACGTGTGAATCACCGGCGGATGAACACAGTGTTGGCGCTGTTCGCACGCGTGCTCATCATCAGGCCACTGTGGACGATTCTCCCCCGAATCTGGAAATGGTCATACTCATCCTCCAGGCTCTCACTGGTTCCCCAGGAACCCTGACAGAGTTGCGTGGTGTTTCGGGTGCATCTTCAACCTCCCCCCGGGAATATGACAGACCATTGGGACACGCGAACTACGGGGGTTTTGTTCGGATCTCGTAAGGCTCCCCCCGGGTTCCCGCAATGGACACAGAGCACCACTTCCCCGGGCCGGAGTTGGGAGCAAACTTGAGGCTCCGTTGCACCGGCCGTCCCATCCTCCCAAGTACGGATACACATATGCTGCACGGCTTCTCTTCAAGGGGGGAAGGCTGATTGGGACGGAAGGGGGAGAAGACACGGGGCCGAAGGTGGCCGGACCAAGAAGCCGGAGATTGTGACGGCATCCAGCACGTCCCCCATCGAGATTCGATGATCGTGGGAGACAATTGATTAGTACAAGGCCAATTGGGTGCCGGAGCCGAGGCACAATTCTTTTATTGACCCTCTTTCTGCTTGCATAGGCAATCTCGTATGGATACGGGATGCAGTCTACAGATAGTACAGACGAAAAGACCTGACTCTCTGTCTACTCCGTACGGCCTGCGCTGTGCAATTGGCAACGTAGCCTAAACTTCCGAGATTGCAATGTGCATCACGAGCAGTCGAGGTACTCGGTACATGCGGCCGTGACGGTTGTTTTGGGGCTAGGTCGAGTTGGCAGTGGGTTAGCCCGACGGCTAACTGGACCTTGTTCAGCGCAACCCAAGACTCCCGTCTCCGAGGAGTAAGACCTCTCCAACATGGAACGCATGGAACCAACCTGCAAGGTCTCCAAGACTGGGTTGCAACGGCCCGCGTCGTCTGGCAGCTGACGGTATGTTCGTTGTCTGTAGGATGGTTTGTGGTGTTGCCAAGGGTCGAACAGACCGCAGTATCCGAACGACGTAAGCCTACCGGAGCATCTGGCCAGTCAATCAGGACGGTGAATAATAAACAACGTCCGGCCTTTGACGGCATCTTGTTCCCCGTACTTTGCCTACCTCAAGGTTCCCTACGTCCACTGTACTTACTCAGGCGGTGACATAGCTGGGTCACGTGTTTGCGCGCTACAGGCAGTATCAGTGCCTTGGAAACCCAGGTACCTACGTCGAGTGGGTACGCTGGAGTCGCTGGACGACCAGGTACCCAAATGAGCATAGGCCCAGGCACGGCCCATGATTGGCTGCGCTAGGGTCTGACAGCGAATCACATGCTGCACGATCAAATGAAGGCCGCGAAAAAGGCTGCGCGACAAGTACAGGGTACCTTGACCTTCTGGATCGGAATTTTCCCCTTTTGACCATCTCAACAACTTTTCGCATCGCCGCCTGTTGCTGCTGCTGCTGCTTGCTCCATTGCTCGTGTCCTTCCCCGTCCGTCCTCCTTTTTTCCTCCTCCTCATAAACCAACTCGTGCCCGTGGCGTTTTTCCCGTTGTCTGATCACCTCCCTTCCGACCCCTCCCCGCGTCTCAATTCTCCAGACTCTCATCGGGTGTCTTGCGGCGGGTAGAGAGAGAGCGAGAGCGCGTTTTCTGCAATTCTTCTTTTCTTCCTCCATTATTAGTCGTCACTCCTTAGACTTCTGCCTCTTTTCTGGATCGTGTCCATCGAACCGCTTTGCCGCCGCCGCTGCTGCATTGCTGAGTAGAACACACTCTACCTCCTCCATCCCATCAATCCGCGTCTTCCGTGTCGAGTCCCCATCGAAAGACCCACGGTAACCGAACACCTTGTCGCAAATCTTCGCAAGTAGATAATCGCGCCACAACACCCGTCTTTCTTCTCCCACCGAGCTCGACGAAAAAAAAAACACCACCAACCATCAAGATGGCGGCCACACAAGCACCTTCCTCGTTCTACGAGCAACTGCCTCTCCCCACGCTCGATCGCCCCTTTGGCATCCACCTATGGCCTCTTCTCGACAAGGTCTGGACTCCCATCGTGGGCTACCCCGTGAGCGAGTTCAGATTCCAGCCTGGCGTCACGCCCATGTCGACCATCAAGTCGGCCGGCATCTTCGTCATCATCTACTACACCATCATCTTTGGAGGACGCGAGTGGATGCGCAACCGCGAGCCCTACAAGCTCAAGGGTCTCTTCCTCGCCCACAACTTGATCCTCACCCTCATCAGCGCCGGTCTCCTCGCTCTCTACATTGAGGAGCTCCTGCCCACCGTTGTTCGCAAGGGCATCTTCCACTCCATCTGCCACGCCGACGGCGGCTGGACCCAGCCTCTCGTTGTCCTCTACTACGTACGTTCCATCGACTGGCGCGCGATTGACATCAGCTGACCAGCCTAGATGACCTACCTCACCAAGTACATGGAGCTGCTCGACACCGTCTTCCTCTTCCTCAAGAAGAAGCCTCTGAGTATGCGCACCTCCCTGATTTGTGTAACCCTCGAGACTGACACTCTACAGCCTTCCTCCACTGCTACCACCACGGCGCGACTGCTCTCCTCTGCTACACCCAGCTGATTGGCTCCACTGCCGTCTCATGGGTTCCCATCACCCTCAACCTCGGCGTCCACGTCGTCATGTACTGGTACTACTTCCAGAGTGCCCGCGGCGTTCGCATCTGGTGGAAGGAGTGGGTCACTCGTTTCCAGATCATCCAGTTCATCATCGATCTCGGTAAGCTGCACTCAGTCCGTCTGTCAACAAAGTATTAACTGTCCCAGGCTTCGTCTACTTCGCCTCCTACACCTACTTCACCTCGACCTACTTCCCCTGGATGCCCAATGCGGGCGAGTGTGCCGGTGAGGAGTTTGCCGCCTTTGCTGGTATCGGTATCCTCAGCTCCTACCTCGTCCTCTTCATCTCCTTCTACCTCGCAACCTACAAGAAGGGCGGCAAGTCCCAGACCCGCAAGTCTCTCCGCCGCATGAGCCAGGCTCCCCTCCCCGACCCTCACGCCGTTGCCTCGGCTGTCGCCGGCCACTCCAACGGCAGCGCCAAGGCCAGCGGAGCCAAGGCCAACGGCTCCTCCACCCCTCGATCCCGCAAGGCGTAAACCCCTTGCCAATCTTGGTGCCGTCCACTCTGTGGAGTGTATATACGCAGGTGACCGCACAGGCATCTGAGGGTCTCTGTTTGCCGATATGTCAACGGCTTAACGCGTTTGGATGTGACGAGACACCTTATTCTTTGGCTTGACGGCATGCCAGGCCGCGCGACTACGACTTTTTCCAAGGCGTGGCCTTTTCTTCACAACTGTGTATTACTGCATCGTTCCCTCGCTACTGGCGAGGCAACACTTTGAAAAACGAAAAAAGGAGCCCTGCTGTGATAAGCAGTGGGGGTCTACAGTCGGACGTGTATGACGACCTGGGAGGCTGACGACGTTTGTATGTTTGTGCCTTTGGCGAACTGGGGTGGGGTTGGGCATCATTGCAGAAAAAGACGAAATGATCTTACCGGGCGATGGCAGCAAAGGGAGCCTCACGCTCTCTCGCCCGGAGGAGGAACAAACTTAGAACATTTGTAATTTTCCTTGTGTTTCTTTGTGTGTCATAGATGGGAGCGGGCCCGTCGCCTCAGCTTTTGGGGGGGGCGTGCTGGCTCAATGATACTAATAACTCTTTCACCACAATGCAGACCTGTCTCTGGCTGGTGTGAAGTCTGAGCTGTTGGTCAGCATCTGGCAAGATTTGCCCCTTGGAAGGACTTGGGACGGTGTGGTTACTCACGCCTGGCTGTACGGTCTTCCGCGATGGTATGTTCCTCTTTTTCTCTCTTCCCCTCTCCCCCTCCCCCAAAATGATGAGTCCTACACGTTACCCAGCTCACTCAGACGCACCAATGTGCGGTTGCTGAGAAAACGTTTGATCACGTCTGATTTTGTTGTCACGATACCTTTGTTTCTTTCAAGGACATCCTGGACGCACCAAGAAGCTGACTTTGTCTTTTCAGGGGTTAATTCGCCAAGGTGTACTGAACATGGGCTCGGCTTTGATGAATGGGATGTAATAGGTAGAAGAATACGATAAAGATTTTACTGAATTTTGTGCTGTTGTGCCCCGGTGATGTTGACTGAGGATGAGGTCGTGGAGAGTTTCTGTGGAAGAGGCCGTGACTTTGGTTGACATGAGGCTGGCTGACTCACTCTCGAGTTTTTAGCCGGCATCTCAACACTGACGAAGTCTTCTGACTATTGAATACCGGCCTATGGGTGAGCAGTATTCCAAACCCCCAACTCTCCCTTCTCCCTCAGCTTCTCCTCAAGTACCGAAGAATGACCGACCCGAAGCTCGCTTCAACCACTGATGCCTCGCCCTTGGAATTCAAGCCATCAGGATATCAGACCCCATTTGAGACCCATCTTCTCAATCCAGAGAGGGAAACATGTATGCCTCTTGGAGTGTCCTGAGGCTCTACATACCTTCCACGGCGTGGAACCCAAGGTGATACGCTTGCCACACAATACTGACATGGCCCAAAGTCGGTGGCTGATAAACAGTCTGTTTAGGGGTAAGAGGTTTTCCCACAAGAGCATACTACTATTGCAAAGACTTGTCTCTTGCTCACCTTAGAATCATGCGGCCCCGGGCAGACGGTCAGTCAGTCAGTCTACGGTCGGTTCGAGGTCTCCTACGGCTTGTCTTTGTCATGCTTTGAGGAAATCGGAACCGAGTTGCGAAGTAGTTGTGGCCGTTGGAGAATTGGACCAGTGACACGCTGACCACGACCGTTTCTTACGAGCCAACCAGCACGAGTCCCCCTTCTGGGGTTTCCCTCTCAAGAGTAAGCCAGTCCATCATGATGATCAAAGCAAGGTCCAATTCACGAATCTGGAGCGTTCAGAAGTCCATGTCACATCGAAAAAAGGCTATGGATGTTGGGTACTCAAAACTTTGAATGAATGTCCGGTATCTAGATCCAGAGAATGTGCGATCTCTCCAAAGCACAGCTAGCCTATTTGCTGCGACAACCCAGTCGAGCTGAAAAAGAGCGTAGGACTCAGACCCTTCATGGGGTGCTGAATTATGAAATACCCTATCCCGGTCATCGTTGACCCGCAACAAAGACGCGGAGGAAATACAATTAAGAAAATGGAGAGAATAGAGCCCCGACTACACATTCGTAGGACAACCCGAATAGCGACGGAGAGAGAACACTACGGCCGTCTCCTCCCAGCAGCAGGCGGCGCAGCCGGAACCGGCACAGGAACCGGCAACGCGTCAACGGGAGCAGGCGCAGCGGGAATGGCAGAAGCGCTAGCACTCGGCACCGACGGCGCGGCAGAAGCAGCGGGAGCGCATCCGAGGTTGCAGGGCGTCTCGCAGCGGCCGATGAAGTCGGGCTCGTCGTTCTTGCAGCGGCCCTGGCAGGGGCAGATGAGCTCGATGGCGGACCCCGTCTCCTGCCCGGGAGGACAGATGCAGACGAAGAGGGTGTTTTCGAGGGACTCGACGGCCGGGGCGGCGGCGGCGCAGTTCGTGCCCGGGGTTGCGCAGTAGCCTTGGCCTACTTGTTCGGTTGTGTAGCCTGCAGGGGTGTTAGGATCTCGTGGGAGAAGGGGAGATTTCTTTGTCTGGAGACGTGGAAGAAGCGATGTGAGAGGAGGACGAGTTGCGGACGGTACCTTGGAAGCCGACGAGGACCTTGCCGCAGTAGGTTGCGCCGCAGACGCAGTGGGCGCCGCCGGGGGCGGGTGCCGGCTGTGCTGGGCCTGAGGGGGCGGGCGCGGGGACGGGGTCCGGGCCGGGGTTGTTTGGGATGGGCTCGGTGGGCGCGGGCGGCTGGCCGTTGACGGTGATTGTCGTGATGGAGGTTGAGACTGGCGGCACTTGGGGGTCTTGTGGCGCGGCGGAGGCCCAGGCCAGGAGAGTGGCCAGTGGTAGGATGTTCAACTTCATGTCTGCGTGGCGGGAGGGCTGGGAGAGTTGGTGTCTTGGTTATGCGAAGAGATGATTGCCGCTACTCTGGCGTTGTTGGCGATGGGAAGGAAGGGATTGCGTGATTGACAGCTCGCTTTATACGCATTGTCGACGTCCAACTTCTTCGTCATGATGTGATGTTTGGGCGAGAGGACTCGAAGGACGTTGAACATTGTCTGACGTTTCTTCTCGTGGACTCGGCTGATGTAGCTTACACGTTGTCCGTTGCACCCGTGATGGGGGTGGTACCGTAGTGTGTATGGACGTGAAGACAAGTCAGTTCATAGTTCTAGTTGGATATGCTTGCACTTGATCTGGCCCAATTTGTCAGAGAAGAGCCATCGAAGACATGCTTGTTTCGATAGACACTTGATTCTATTACGACCGCAGACGTTGTCAACTCTGAAGACGACAAGACGATACTAGGCTTATGCCACTTTGGCAGCTGCATCTGTTCCGCGTCATCCAATTCCTCACTTGCCGCAATCCGATCTCGAGAGACACAGAGTAACCCGTCCACACGGGTGCAACAGGACTCGACGAGGCAGAGCATGCCGACCACGTCAAGACCCAAGGCGACGGGCTATCGTCACAATTTGAGGTAGCCCCAGAAGAAGAACACGAAGTCGGTGTTCCCCTGTGCCCCTCGATTCCTACCTAAGCTTGCACATATCGGGCATCACCGAGGTTCTTCCCCTGACCGTGACGGCCAGAGAACCACCTTACGTCGCAGCGTGTTGTCTCAAGGAGATTAGGGAAATAGGAGCAATTCAAAAATCATCAGCATCGTGGTTGTATCGTGTTCTGTGCCTCGACACGTCAGAGGTGTTTGCCCTGCACGATGGCGGATGCTCCCACGCACACCCAGAGCTCTGTGTGATTTCAGGCGTTGAGGAAAGGGGTCTGCAGAGATATCATCAGGTTCGACAAGCCGATGCCGACTTTGAAGCTGCCGAAGCCGAACTGATCAAGGAATCACCGCTTTGATGGGGACCATGCTATGACGTCTGATTCGAGAAAGACGAAAGTTCGGCTTGAAGCTGACGGGATGCAGTCGGAGGCTCGGAGATGCGGCGGCGGAGGTGGATCCCGGGGCCCTGCAGACACAGTGTCGGCTACAGTTCCGTCACAGTACCGAACTTGTGGTTGCTCTCGTGCTACCCCTCCATCCCCGCCATCGCCCCTACCTGCCTGCCAAGTACTCCAACTTGCCAAACTCCGAAGCCAAAATTCAATTCTCGAGTTCGACGACACACCTCACGCCAGCCCAACAACTCGCAATTGACCTCGCTCAAGCCGGCAAAGAACCGTCGATTGCACCGAGAGACGACACTTCAATTCCAAACACACACACACACACACACACACCCCACACCACCCGTCACAATGGCCGCCGCACCCGAGAACGGCACCCCCATCCACGTCGGCACGCGCAGGTCGGCGCTGGCGATGAAGCAGACCGAGATCGTCGTCGAAGGCCTCTCCAAAGCCCGCCCCGACGCCACGTTCGAGATCCACAGCATGCAGACCCTCGGCGACAAGGACCAGATCACGGCGCTCTACAACTTTGGCGGCAAGGGCCTGTGGACCAACGAGCTCGAGGCGAAGCTCGTGGCCAAGGAGCTCGACATCATCGTCCACTCCCTCAAGGACATGCCCACCACCCTACCCGACGGCTGCACCCTCGGCTGCGTCACCAAGCGCGAGGACCCGCGCGACGTCGTCGTCTTCAAGGCCGGGCTCGCCGAGCAGCACGGCTGGAAGACGCTGGGCGACCTCCCCGCGGGCAGCGTCATCGGCACCAGCAGCATCCGCCGCATCGCGCAGCTGAAGCGCCGCCACCCGGGTCTGAAATTCGCCGACGTCCGCGGCAACATCGAGACGCGCCTGCGCAAGTGCGACGACCCCGAGGGCCCCTTTTCGGCCATCATCCTCGCCGCCGCGGGCCTGCTGCGCATGGACTACGGCGCGCGCATCTCGCAGTACCTCGACTCGGAGAACGGCGGCACGCTGCACGCCGTCGGACAGGGCGCGCTGGGGATCGAGGCGAGGGCCGGCGACGAGAGGGTGCTGAGCGTGCTGAGGGAGCTCGAGGACGAGCCGACGATGCTGGCGTGCGTGGCGGAGCGGAGCGTCATGCGCACGCTCGAGGGCGGGTGCAGCGTGCCGATCGGTGTCGAGACGAGCTGGGTCGAGGTTGAAGGGAGCAAGAAGCTGCGCCTCAAGGCGACGGTGGTGCACGTTGACGGCACGCAGGGCGTGGACGCGGAGAGGACCGAGACGATTGCGACGCGCGAGGAGGCGGACGACTTTGGCAAGCTCGTGGCGCAGGACCTGGTGGACGGGGGCGCGCAGAAGATCCTTGATGACATCAACCAGGCGCGGCCGGGCGACCAGATTGCGACGGCGGAGACTGCGGCGGCGGCCAATGCTGCTGCGTGACGAACTTATGACACAATCGGATAAAACACACCAGACGGAAGAAAATAGACTGTTCCCGCTGGAACCATTTGATGACCATCATCTCTCATTGCTCTATGTTGGTGACTACCACGTTGTTGAACCGCAAACCCCGAAAGTGAATACCCGCTTGGCGTTGGCGTATAGTACAGACACACACTCTGCCCGGTTGAACTGCCGGCTACCTATATCTAACCGAACCATTGCTCTCTCCCTCTCTCCCTCTCTCTCTTCCCCCTTCTCACCATCCAATCTAGTGGTCCTCAGAAGCGGTGAAAGCCTTGTACTCCTCCTCACCCATGAGGGCCTCGAGCTCCTGGACGCCCGCCTCGTCGACCTCGACCTTTGCGATCCAGCCGCCGCCGTGGGAGTCGTCCTCGGGCACCTTGTTGATGGTGCCCGGCTTCTCCTCGAGGCCGAGGTTGACCTGGGTGACCCTGCAGCTGACGGGCGCGTTGATGTCGGCGGCGCTCTTGACGGACTCGACGGCGCCGATGGCGTCGCCCCGGGCGACCTCCGCGCCCTCCTCGGGGAGCTCGACGTAGACGACGTCGCCCAGGGCGTCGGCGGCGTACTGGGAGATGCCGACGACGCCCGTCTTCTTGTCGGCGTTGAGGTCGATCCACTCGTGGTCCTTTGTGTACTTGCGTATTAAGCCTGTCGATGATGGTTCGGAAGCAGGTCCGAGGGGTCAGTCTTTTGGTGTTTGATACCTTCGGGTGGGGAGCCGAAGCTTTGGGGGGGTATGGGGGAGAGCTCACTGCTGGGGGTTGTAGAGAAGCTGCGCTGCGCGGGACGGGGGAAAAAGGCGCGGGGAGCGGCCTTGGTGAGTTGGGAGAGGGCGGAGGGGCGGACTGCCCTCATGCTGCGTGCAATTGAGGCCATTTTGGGAGGTTTCTGGTTGTGTCGTGAGAGATGTGGAAGAGTGGTGGTAGGTTTTTGGAGTTTGAGAATGAGGTCAGAACGGCCGACTTTAGAGCTTCCGGGGGGATTTGGGGCCTGGGCGGCTGATAGGTTATCGGCAGGTACGTACCGCCCTACCGAGACCGGGAACTCTTCCATCAAACACCAGCGCTTGAGCCAATCAGGGAACAGGTTTCTCGAGCCGCCGTCGCCTTAGTCATGGCTGTTTGGGCGGACTGCCATCGGCCCGGGGCCGCAAGAGCCAGGTTGGGGTCATTGGATGCAGGGCGATAAGAGACCGCGCTGGGTTGGGGGGAGAGCGATAGGAGGGGAAGCCGAGAGCGCCCTCGCTGGAAGTCTCCAACCAGTCTCGGTCTGTCTGCTGCCAGTCTCTCTGCGCGCCTGAGGCAGTGTGTCGGTCACAAGTCACGGGGAAGCAACGCGAGTAGGAAGCAAGAGACGACGACGACGTAGACAGCCGGGCATGAGCCCAAGAGCTCGGACGGAGCGGGCCAGGAGTCCGTTGCGAGGCCATCCGGGAGTGTCCCGTCTCTTGGTCTGGGTATTTCGGGCGGGTGCCAGGTGAACGTGGTCGACCGTGGTGGACTATTACAACGGCCTCATGCCGTTTGCATGAATTCCCCATTTCGAGCCTGCGAAATTGCATGGCAGAAACGTTCTAGTCTCGATCTCATCGGTCTTTTCTACACCTGAAGTTTGGTTCCCTCTCCTTTTTTGTTTTTTTTTTCCCCCTTCCGGCTGATTTATCTTGAATTTTCTTTGGATCTGGTCTCTGCTCCGGAATGACGAAGCCTCTGTGGATATTCCTCGCGCGCCCTACAATTGAGGTCGGGATCTTATTCCAAGGCAGAGATAGAGTTGGCAATAGCCTCATTCTGGAATTGCGGTCAGAGGCCTGTTGTGTTTGCTGAGCGGGAGCCTGAGGTTCGAGCCCGGGCCCCGGGACTCTGTGCATCGTCCCATGTCGCGTACGCTTAAGTAATGGGAACCCGAGCGTGATGGGGGGTTGTTGACTTTGGGCAAGTTTTCTATTGACATTGGGCGCTGTGCTTTTCCCACTGCGCACCGGACAACGAGCTGCAGCTGCACGAATGAATCGGCCAATGTCACGTCGCAAACGACGGCGTTTCTACCTAGTTGTCAACATTGCAGGCGCTGTCAACAACAGTGGTGTTGTTCATGTCTGCAGAGGAACTCGATTGCAAGTCAGGCAGATGTGATTCCTGACGAGTGACGAGTGACGACTGACGACGTGAGGCTCACCGCCCTCGAAAGTTGTGCCTTGTTTGGTGAGGCTCGGGCGGTCCGTTTGAACGTTTTTGTCTCAGTGCCTTGCCCTCGCTACGGAAGCTCGTACGGTGCGTCCACCGTCGAATGTGTCCCTGTCGAGTCCCACTGACTTCAGGCGAAGCTGAAAGAAGCCCAAGAGCCCACCAGTCGGTGGACCTGGAAGGGATTAAAAAAAAACAGGAAGAAAAGAATGGAAGAAAATTGGCAAGTATGAATAAACGAGGAGTTGTGTGTGTGCGTCGATTCGATTCCATAAATGCCGCCGCCCGTGATGCATCATCCATAATCCTCGAAAGCAATAGCACCAAATCTCCCATCATAAGGTGCTAGGGGTGTTAGGTAGTGCACGAAAGGGAGATGCGCCTGTGGTGCGTGGGGCGGCTGAACAAACATTGCTTGCCAACCTACCACCTCAGGTACTGTGTAGTGCGTAGTGTGTAGTGTAGTGTGTAGTGTGTAGTGTGTACTGGAGGATTGTGTGCATAAAACGCGTCCGTCTCGCGTCTTCTCCACACAACCGTGGCCCAAGGTAGGTACTCCGTAGATACTTCGTACTTGCTCGACTTTGGCGTCATTGCCAGTGCACGAAATGTACCAAAGGATCCATCCCGGCCGTCTGACTGGCTGCTTTCTTTCCCCTGGGCCCCCTGTCGCACCTCCCTTCCTCGATCTGCCATAAGCGCCATGGCCTGGGGATGGCCCTGACTTGCCGTTTCCCTGGGCTTTCCTGCGCTGGCGTGCCTCACCAAGGTACCTAATGCTCCGCTAAATCAACCAAGCCAAAGAGTCGCTTGCTTCCCTTTGCTGGTTCGAGTTGTGCCTGTGCCTGTCCATGTTCGCACCATGCGAGGTACGTACTTCCTAATGTTATGTTGCACTGACATCCCCTCGTCCCCCCTCCCCTCTCTTGCACCAAAACACGACAACGGGGGGCAGCACAGCACAACAAAGTCGCACAAGCATCTCCTCAGCATTCCCGTTTATCCATACTCCGTACACAATCCGCCATCTCAAAGTGCACCCCGACGCGCACAACTTCCCCGGCGCTTGACATTGACATCCACGGGTGCTTAGTGCTTGGTGCTTGGTGCTTGGCCTTGCCTGGATCTCCGCTACTCCATCCCCATACCCTGACTCCTCCCCTGGGCCCGTTTCGGTACATTCCATGACCGTCACCTCCAGCTCCTCCTGCCATCGAGTATCCGTACCGCACCGCCGCATCTCATCGCCATCCCGTCCCGTCGTCGATACCTGACCCTTTCTGTCTTTTGCTCGTCTTGTCTTGTCTTGCCTCACCGTCTGCCGCAACTCGACACCTTTCAACCTCGTCTCTTCGCCAAACCCACCCACCAAATCGAGGGCTTCCTGTTGTCGTCAAGCCTAAGCCCGGCTCCTGCAACTCGGCCACTCGTCGCCTGTTGATACTACACACTGCCGGTACGTTCGTCTGGCCCATCCCCATTGCTCAGCTCGAGGTGGGCAACCCCTGCTTCAACTCGTCGTCCAATCCCCTCTCTTGTTCCCGCACCGCACCGTCTCAAGGTCCCGTACCGTCCACACCACGCTCCTGTCCCTCCTCTCTTCCTCTCGACTTGCGAGTGTGGAGAGGCTAGGTGAGACATCTTTGCCTGAACACTCATTCCCTCTCTCCCACCTCACCTGTTCACCTCCACGAGTTGCGTCGACGTCGCCAATCCTAATCAGTGACAGATACCATCTCGTATAGCCCGGTCTCAACTCAGCCCTTTGCTACCCCATCGATCGCCGCGCCGCCGCCCTGGCAAGTGCTCCATGAAGCCATCATCGGGCTTGAACTGAAACCTGCCGCCCTCTCCTCGACCTTCTTTTGGGACTCGGCGCCGACTGTCACTTGTCCTCGCTCATCGGCAAGCCGGTAAACTACAGCATCGTCATCTTTCCGGCCCCTTGCTCGACACGGAGCCTCCCGTCCCGCGCCCTCGAATCTCCACGCTGGATTCCTCAACACTGTCCGCGGGGTCACCGGCCCAGTTCCACGACGCAGTCGACACCATGGACCACGATCACTTGGCTGCGCAGCCTCACCCCGACGACACCATCGGTGCCTTCGATGCCTCTCCCCAGGTGGCCCAGAACAACGGCTACGACCACCCAGAGCCCCAGCGACACCACACAAGTCAGTCCCTCGATCATGGCCTCCCACAATCCCCGCGACCCGAAGAGCAGCACTCGGATCGGTACAACACACCACCACTTCCCATGAACGCCCCGTCCATCTCAAGGCCTGCTTCTGGACTCTCCGGCGCCGGCGCGCAACAAGGCTACGCCGACCATGCGTCGCGCAGCAGCGCCGGTGCGGAAGCCGCCGCCAGCAACGGTCGCAACCACGTCGTCATCAAGGTCGGCATGGTGGGCGATGCGCAAATCGGCAAGACCAGTCTCATGGTCAAGTACGTCGAAGGAAGCTGGGACGAGGACTACATCCAGACGCTAGGCGTCAACTTTATGGAGAAGACCATTTCCATCCGGAATACGGAAATCACCTTTTCCATTTGGGATTTGGGCGGCCAGCGCGAGTTTGTCAACATGCTTCCGCTGGTCTGCAACGACGCCGTCGCCATTCTCTTCATGTTTGATCTGACACGGAAGAGCACCCTCAACAGCATCAAGGAGTGGTACAGGCAAGGCAGGGGCTTCAACAAGACGGCCATCCCCATCTTGGTCGGCACCAAGTATGACCACTTTGTCAACTTTCCGCGAGAGGACCAAGAAGAGATCTCGAACCAGGTAGGTCGTCAAAGAGTCTCTCTCTCGTATCTCGGCGCTAACAGAACAGGCTCGCCGGTTCGCCAAGGCAATGCGCGCTGCGTTGATCTTCTCTAGCACGAGCCATAGTATCAACGTGCAAAAGGTGAGCCCCTCTTTCGCCGTGGTATCGCACTTGACTGACCATCTACAGATCTTCAAGATTGTGCTGTCCAAGGCCTTCGACCTCAAGTGCACCATTCCCGAAATCGAAAACGTCGGAGAGCCGCTACTCCTGTATCAGTCCTGCTGATCGCCGTCAGCGGTCTGATGTGGCCTCGCGCCAACTACAATCGTCTCGGCCGCCCATAACGAATGGATCATGACCCATTACGTCCTTACGACCTTCGATATCCATGCTGGCATCCATCAGCCGAGCTACCAAATCAGTCATCTCTGGCATTAGGCGACAACGAGTGACTTTACAGAGCACCCTACATGGCTCTCCCTGGCATAACCAGCCTCTTAAAACAAACCGACTCGCTTCTTTCTTTTGTTACCAACATGGCCTCCATGGCCCGATCACAGCGCTTTTCAGTGTCACCAGTCTGGTCAATCGCGCACACATCACACACAAACACATTCCTCACTCTCTGATTGCAACCGGCGTTGCATATCTCTTCAACCTTTACTTCTCAAGATTGGTAGGGACACGGCGGAATGGCTGGAGGGCGGGATGAGATGCATTTTAGGACTACGGTCTGGCGGTGGGCCTCGCTCGCTTGATCGATCCCTTCTCACCACGAAAAGGGGGATGGAGTGTTGAGACAGAGCAGTGCCCACCGTCTTGTTTCCAGGCGTAACGGCCGCTGCGAAACTGTTCCGGAGAGAAAATCTTGGGCAGCAAAACTTGCTTTTTTTCCATCAGAGATTTTTTTTGTCGAATT